TGGATTTCTCGTTCCCGGATAAAAAATTTATTCAAAACCGGCCTTTGGTGACACGCCATGGCGCGACTGGGATGCGGAATCTTGCTTGCGATGAGTCTCTACTCGATCGCCTACGGAGCTTCTAGCAGGGGTGAGTTTCCTTTTCCGCCCCCCTTTAATTACCGTGCGATTAAATTCCATTAAAAAAGGTGTCATGTGCGTAGGTCCCACGCGCAATTGAAGAGAGAGTAAACATACTTTAGTGATAGGTTGATTTATTCAATTTTTTTCCACACTGACCGGGAATTCCACAATTAATAAATGTCTCAAGTATAACCTGTTTATACTTCTGATTGTGAGAAATTATATTTTTCACTGAATTTATGGCTGGCATTCTTTTTTGATACATTAACTGCGCAAATTGATTACATTGTATATTAATGAATTAATTGAATTTGTTTTAATTTTAAGAATTTCAATAATTATTGATAGTAGTTAATTGCCTGATTTTCAATTCTCCTCTATTTCCAGTTTAATTTTTTCTGTGCTTTTATAACCAGAATATTTATATACATTTTTTAATTAGTGATTGTTGCTCTACAACTCCATGCACATTGGAATTTTTACTTTTAATCAGAATTAGTTCGCTCCATAGCTATCAATTACATTGAATTCTACTAAATTTCAATGAAATGATTATAATTGTTCTTTTTTTTTCTTTAATTATTCATGAGCTATTTTATTAACATACGGAATTAGTAAATAATTCAATAGCATTTTTTAACAACAGTATTTGGAATTTTAATAAATGCTCAAAACAGTTTCACATTGTGTGCATCTCTTGGGTATGATAAAGTTCAAAAATAAGTTCACCATCATTATAGTGTAATTTTGAAAAAAAAAACTCGCAAAAATTAATTCATTAATTATTTAATCTCTGGTTATTTTTGTGTTTCTATACATTGTTAGCACAAGACTTTTAATTGCACCATAATAATAGAATTGTAGTGAGAAAAATAAATTAAAAATATGAAACAATTTTTAGAATAATAAACCCTAGGTTGTGCACTACGTTTGATTTTTTCTAATAATAGACATTTATTGTAATAACAAATCAACATAAAGCAATGGGAGTTTGTTTTGAACATTGTATGAATCATTCACAATATTATGTTGTGCACCGTAGTAAATTTAACATCCCAATTGCTTTCTAATGAAATAATAATTCATCCTTTTCTGAAGCAGGAAAGTTTGATCGAGTATGTCGTAATTTATGATTTCATCGCGAATAACGAGGGAAATCCTTACTTAAGATTTTCTCGGAATTTCAACTGAGACGTCTGGTGAGAGTTTTGAGTTCAATTTCGTGTTGCCTCCCACAACAAAACTTTCGACTTTGAAGACAATAAATTCCAATGCACCTTTAACATAGAAATAAACCCATTAGAACAAAAAAAATCCTATACTTATTTAACTCGCCAGCTGCATTTGCAACGGAGCATGAAGCATAAATTAATTGATGGCATCTTACGCACGCGTACCTCATTGCGAGAGCACCTATTTTATTGATGGAGCAGATCACTTTGCTTGCATGTAGTGTTCTCTCCATCTCGTTGAAGAGGTTCCGCGCATTTGCTGCAAATAGACAAAAAGGCCGGTCTTCAAAATTCTAAAAAAATATCGAGTGAATGAAAAATATAATTTAACAATTCAAGAAGATCTGTTTTGATTTCTCAATGAAAAAAAAAATTAAAATCTTGATTGGAAGCAAAATAAAAACTGATCACAATCTATTATATTTAAGTATTTTTTTTTTTTTTTGTAAATGTTTACTAATTAATTTTCTTTAATTGAAGGAGATTAATGTCCATTTGTGGCGCGTGGAATTAGAAACTACCGGCAAGTCAACCTTTGGGAGTCGTAAAGTCACAAAACCAGTTACACGATTTATATTTTTTCCGCAAAGAAATTTCTAAAAGTTTGACACGCACCCATTGCTCGACATTTTATCCTAACTTTAGACCAAAATAAGTACGATTCCTCGAGAAAAAATATAATCTAATTGGTGGACGTGTGTGTATATAATAAAATGCAAAGGTTCGATTTGCGCTCGGCGCCTCTGCTTGTGTTGGATGAGAGAAAGCGGCGCTGAGGATTGCTTTGAAATTCACCGAGTTTTTTCACTCTCTTCGTATGTCTGTTTAAAGACTTAATGAACACACGAGCATCTTTTAGAAACACACACACCTCTTGAAAGAAATCGTTATCTCACATATCGGTTCCAAAGACGTGTTTTTACGCCGATATCGTGCAAATTAGCAATTTGTTCTTTTTTCATTCAAAACGGAACCTTTCTGTTTTTATTATGAACACGGAAAAAGAGAGCTATCTGATGACATTAGCTCGCGGTCACCGGAGAAGATTTATTCGCAACTTGACTCTCTGCTTTCTACACGAGAGAGGCGCAAACAATGCGCCTTTGCACCCCGAGTGAAATAACTCAAAGCTGTCTTGTCGTGCCAGTGAGAAACATGTACATTTTTACTTGCGGATGTGGATAAAACTGGTATATGAAAATTTTTATAAGATATAGATTTACGTAGAGTAAATAAATGCAGAAAGCAAGGGCTGATTATCAGTGAAGAGAATTTGTACGGCGACGATTTGATCTCACCTCTTTGATGAACGGTTTCCGCATCTAATCAGAGAATGAATTTTTTCGCGCACTTTTATCAAAAGTTTACATCGCTTGGTGAAAATTAAGGGCTGAAATTTTGGCTAGTTTGAATTAAAAACAGCCAATTTGGGTTCCCTGCAGGGAGGGTGCAAGGGCGGCGAGGTATACGTGATATGAATTTAATTTCAACAAAATAAAAGTTTTATTATCAAATAAAAACTTGAATTAAAATTTTATTTCTGGCAAATTTTTTAAATATGCATTGTATTATTATTTTTGTGCGAGATTCTATTTGTTAAATAATTAATTTTGCTACCAATTTCCGGGAGTTGCCTGGAGTTAACCAGTATTTTTTATATTAAGTAAATTATTGCACGTTAATCTCATTAACAGACGAGCAGATAGATGCATAATTTAATGGATGTTGTTTTCTTTATTATCTATCTTTCACGCGCCGTTTGCTTTTCAGGTCGAAGGTCCCGAGTGGACTCTGTTCGTTATTGAATTTATTGCACACAACGCCAACAGTGGTCAGTGCTGGTTTTTTTTCTCGCGTCTCTCTGTACGACCGTCATCCTTGCTAGTAAAAGCGACGGCCTGCAAATCGTTGTATACTTTTTATCTTTGCCGGAATTGATTTGTAATGCGAGCATTGTGGTGCCGTAATAGCCTCGAGAGTTACATGAAAAACGTGAATAATTCATGAAAGAACGTAAAAAAGAATGATTGGGACGTAGGTTGCTTTGCTGTAGTTTTTTCTGTTACTCTATTAATTATCGAATTACTAAACAAAAGAATTGAAAGTCTAAAGCTAGCTTAATTGAAAATAATACGAAACGCTTTTTTAGGAGAAAATACATTATAAAAAAAAATTAGTTTAAATTAAAACTAAATTAATTTTATATTTTCTACCACCTTTTCATCCTATTTGAAGTAATTAATGGTATTTAGAAATAAAATTGAAATATCAATGATTTAATTTTGATTTTTTCTATTTACAAAAATTTTTGACCAGATTTCCTCATTGTCACTTTTACAAGCTAATTCAATTAGTAACCTGTCCGTCAATTTTGAAAGTATAATAAATATTCTTTCCATTAAAATTTTTCACTGAGAGTGAAATCAATAAATTATGCGAGGGCAGTCTCGCCAATTTGTCTTTGTGTGCAAAGTTTGATCCGGCAGAGTGACCTTGTTCTCCACTCTGGCCGGGTTAAAGCCCACCTGTCTCGCAAGTGCGTTTGTTCTTCTCGTAGCACCACACGCAGGAATTCGAAAGTACTACAAGCTCAAACCACATCTCTCACTTACAAACAAGTACCATTATTAATATCAAAAGGTGTGCACAATATTAACTTACATATTATTTCAAGGCCGCATTCCACGCAGACCTCTCTCGCCGGACATTAATCTTGGTACAAAAATACTTTATTTTATTTGTTTGTTACTTTGCGATTCGTTCGTGGAAATGCTCTGCAAGTTGTTGTTGATATCGCGAAAGGATTGTCGTGGTCTTACAAGAACGAGAAGGCCAAAAGGAACTTATAAATAAAATCAAAACAAGTGAAAAGAGCACTTAAATTTTTTTTAACAGCCTGGAAGAACATGCTATTTATACAATTTTAATTGATATGAAGCAAAAAATGTATTTTTAATTAAAAATTATTCATACTTTAAACTGCATTAATTAAAAGTTATTTCTTTGTTTCTCTCAAAACTTTTGATCAGCTTTACAAAATTGAATTAATATGCATATGGTTTGTAAATTTTTAAGGTAATTGAGAGAATTGAATGTTGAAGTAATATTTTCATTAAAATAAGGGGAAGGGATTCATTGTAACAAAAATATAAGTTTCGATTTTTTAATTACTAAATTTGATGGTTCATTTTTTTTTAATTTTCAAACTATATAATTTACTTCTTGTTGTTAGAGTCTATAGACTATAAACATACTTTTTGCCTATTTTTGAATGGAAAATCCCTTTGCAAAGATTGAAAGTCAAGACCAGTTCATGTTAATGGATCAATTTAAGGCCGTTGGCTAAAAGGTAGCCTCGCCATCAGACTGTGCAAAGGAGGTGGCAACTGTTGAAGTGGTATTGTCGTCTGACACAATCACTCTCGATCATCTGATTAAAAACATATTAAATGGCAGATCAATTGGTTTATTATAATCATTATCTCCAACAGGTTTTTCTTTCCTCACGTCAGCCAGGAGAAAAAAAAATTAAATTTAAAACCTTTCAGTTATATTGGTTTTGTAAATTTTTTTGTATCTTATATTTTAAAATGCATAAAATAATTTTATTCGTTAGTTTTAAAAAGTGTTTCAAATGTGTTGCAGGTAACGACTGCTCCAACTGTGTGGACGACAGTTTGGGGTCAAGCACGTTGAACAGGTGGACGATGCCGCTGCTGAAGCTCGGCGAAAAGAGATACTACCTCGGAATTTTCTTCAAGGTAATGTCAGGAATTTTGACAGTTTCACATCAGACTGTAAATTTAACAAAAAATTTTATTTATCAATATTAGATTCCCTTACAGTAAATATATAAATGAGTGAATCACTTTATATCAGTATCACGCCTTTAAATGAATCAGTGGGCAACCCGCTCGACATTCAAGTCGAGCAGGTTGCCTATATGACTGCTTTGTTAATTTTAAGAAGCAGTGAAAGGACGATTATTTAGAATTTATGAAATCAATTTAATGTTTTTGTTTCTTTTAAAATTTCAACTTCCACTTCTGTAAAATTTTAAATTATGGCATTTAAATTAGATTTTATAATAAAAGATAAGATTATTTAATCATTTCATTTTTGTTTTTTAAATATAATATATTTCTGGCAATGAATTGATGTCAATTAGTAATTTGTTGATTGTTGACGTCGGTTCTTTCAATTATTCTCATTGGGGCATGATTCAAAAGCAGGTATTATTATTTTCTCATGAAAATAAATTTTCACGAAAAACCTTTAGGCCAATTGGTTCAAAGCGAACCGCTACTGTCGTTACCACGGCATGCAACTCGCCTCCATTGACACCGAGGAGGAAAACAAATTGCTGCAGGAGACAATCGCCTCGCAAGGTTTGTCCAAAGGCGACACCACAAATTCGCTAACTCTCGGTGGTTTTACTCGGTGTTTTTTTCCAAAACTTTTGTGAATGATGCCCCTCTAAAAAAAAATGTACAAACTGTTTCTATGTTTGATGTTTCCAAAGCATGCTAATGGTTTCGGTCTTTTTGTTATGTTGGGAAATGACAGGCCAACTGGTACAAGTCGGCCCAGTACTGCAGGTACCACGGCATGCATTTGGCCTCCATTTCCAGCCAGCAGGAGAATGACCAGCTGGAAAAGCACATCCGAGACTCAGGTAGAACAACAAATAAATGCACAAAAATAATTTTAAATGTATTTTAAAAAAAACTTAACTTTTCACTTTCGGAACTAACTTCTTATAAAATTAATACCAAATGAGCTATTCCACGCGAGAGATCTTTATAATTATAACTACACAGATTTCAAAATGTCTTGTATTTTTGTAATTAAAAAAGGATTTAACCCAAAATGTTAGGAGGAAATTTGAAAATTTTGGATTGATTGTTATACATCTAGAGAAATTATTACTTTTAAAATATTTAAATTAGTTTTTTACTAGACCTAGTTGAAATTTAATTTTAGTTACGTTAAAGATTGACTTTGATTTTAATTTTTTTTTTACATAGATAAGCTGTGGGGTAGCAGCAGCAAAGTAATTTAATAAAATCACTATTAAAAACCTTATTTTACATAAAATTACTTTTTAAAATTATGCTTAATATTTTAGTAAATGTGAGCTAAACCAACTCTTTTAGGCCTAGAAATCTATATGAAATGTTAATTTAAATGTTGCTCTGACAATGAGGTGGCCCTAATAGGGCCGGATTATGAATTTCAGTCAGTTGAATAGTCAAATAAAGCTGAACTTTCTAAAAATTGATCTAACGTGGAATTGCTCAAATGCTTTTTTATAATTTTATTATAAACATACTAATATTTGTGACTATCGTGAACCAGGATTTGGTCTTGAGCACTTCTGGACGTCTGGCACTGACCAGGGCGAGGAAGGTCACTTCTTCTGGATGTCGACTGGCCGCCCTTTGACGTTCACCAACTGGAATGCCGGGGAGCCCAACAACTTCCGCTACGAGAACGGCGAGGAGGAGCACTGCCTGGAACTGTGGAACAGAGACGGAAAGGGCCTCAAGTGGAACGACACGCCGTGTTCCTTTGAGACCTACTTTGTCTGTGAAGTGAACTGAATTTAAAAGACACACTTCCTCTCTTGGGAATGGACATTTCAATCAAGTATTTTCAGTCTTTCCTCTCTTGAGGACCTGTATTTTTTTATACAAATGGAGACTGCTATGTAAATGTGAATGACCTAAACTTTTTTTTTTTAAATTTTATCGCGATTTTATTGAATGTTCATCAATTCAAACTCAGCCTATATACATTTTACGATCAGTTTATTTCTTTTTAATTGAAATAATTTTTATTGTTTTGATCCTCGCGCGCCCATAACCTCTGTACGTGCCATTCCTTATCCAATCAGTGTAAACAAAGAAGTGCAGATATGGAATCCAATACTAGCTTTGTTTGCAGTCTTTTGAATGTTCATTGATATTATTATTTTCAAAGTTTTGTGCACTCACACAACTTTACTGTGGTTATCCAATTAATTTAAACTCTAAGGGAGTTTATGTTGTTGTTTCGATTTTTTTACTGTACATACATGAAAATTTTACTAAAATTTTTGTAGAAATAACCGCGATGTAAATATGATTAAACAGAAACTAATGTGACACAGATTGGTTTAAAAATAAAACGTTTTAGTGTTAGCAGAAGATCTTGAAGTTGTTTTTTGAATAAATAATAAATTATATTCTAATTGTAAGGAACACTTTTCAACGTGGTAATTAAATAATAAAATTTATAAGTGAAAAGAGGGCTTTGCCCTTGCTAAGATCTTTTTAACAAATAAGTCTTGAATTATATTTGAAATCAAAGTTTTGAACAGGGGCAATGTTCATTTTTCCAATTCATGAACGTGTCTTCCCACTTCATTTTGGCTGTGAAATAGCACAAGTAATTTTTAAGAAATTTATTTTGGTGTGAAGTTAATCGTTTAAGAAAATTTTTAAATTTAGTGCGCCATGTTGTAATACTCAATCTGCTACATTGATATATACTGCTTTTTGCATTTATCATACTTTATAATATATCTTTTTTTACTTTGATTTTGAACTAATTCCAAGCTGGGTTTTCTTGGGCAGGTTTTATTCAGGTCAAATTACTGTACTCCTCTGAGATGCATATCTAAAAACATTTAATACAACATGGTGTTGCAAAATCTTAAAATAATGAAAACCTATCTATCCCTGGCATTACAGAAACCAGTCCTTGACTTAAGGTCACCACCTAAATCAATCATTTGCAACTAAATCAAACTCCTAAAAAGTTAAAGTTTAATGTTAATAATTTATCCAGTATTAATTTTAATAATTGGTTCATGTTTGAACTTCATTTTCTAGTAATTTTGAATCAAAGTTTATTGTTTTAAAAACACTATTAAAAAAAATTGAAATCATGCTTAAAAATCATATAAAATTAGTTATAAATTGTTGCAAGATTTTAAGGATTTTCAAATAAACAAATTAAATAATTAGTACACATAATATGAAATCATAGATAAAACTTAACTATGTGTTAAATTGAACTGGTTATTTGGAAATTAGAAAAGATTTTCTTTGTAATAATGATTTTCCAAATAGTAAATGAAGATTGACGGTGTTCCCTTTCTATTAAGATATCATTAGTCAACGTTGACCTGAATAATTCATCTCCGCTAGAAGTAAAAACAAAAATTGGAGAAAAATGAGCTGAAATTAAACTTTTCCGCTTTGCGAGACTATTATATGCAACGTCGACAAATTTATTTAAATTGAATGATTGAGGAATAATACAAATTATTCACTTGTACAGTTGCGATATATAATCACCTAATATCATATAAATGTTGATTCTCTTCGCGCGCACAATAGCGAAATTTATGCATAATTCAGCGCGCGGAGTGTCTTTTGATTGGCGACCTTAACCTCCATAGGTTTTCTGCGCGAGCACCGAGAGTAAAAGTGGCAGGTGTCGTTGCATGGGTGTCCGACCTACGGAGTCAGTTGGCGCCTCGACCCAGCCACAGCAGCAGCATGGCAGCAGAACCTCTCGCGGGCATGACCGCCGTCGACTTCGTCGTGCTGGTTGCCCTCCTCGGCGGCTCCCTCGGCATCGGGGTCTACCACGCCATCTTCCGCCGACAAAAGTCGACGGCCGACTACCTCGTCGGCGGCCGAAGCATGCCCCTCATCCCCACGGCCATCTCGCTGCTCGCCAGTTATATTTCGGCTATTCTCATTCTAGGTCAGTTTTCATACAAATCACGTTAATTTCAAAGTAAAAGAGGATGTAAACAGTAAACAGTTTCAAAAATATGAAATGGTTAAAGGAACCATAGCATTATTTTAATGTTATGTTTTTTTTTGGTTTCCTTAAATCTACTATTTTAAGTTCCACCAGAGCATAACTTACTAAGTGTCATTAGGCATTTTTTGTTCATTTTTATACAATTATTAAATATGATTAAGGAAAAGCAAGCATGTGAAAAATCAACAGAAATGTAAGGTTTTCTCTCACAATGTAATTATTTAAGGCTTAAAAAAATATTTATCAGTCGTCTCATCTTTTTCCTTTCAATTCCACTTCCTTGTGTACAATTCTCGTATAATGTAATAAAAAATTAGCTCTTTTCACATCCATGTGACCTTAGCAAAGAGTCGTCTTCGTCTCTCATTTTCAGTCTTAAATACTTAGTTACTTATTTCTGCTCGTCTCTTTCCTCAATCGGATGTAAATCCACGCGCGTCTGCACACAATGCAAACAATGGCTTTTGCGGACACACATTGCTGCGTCCCTAGCGATGATTACGTGTCGGAATCAAAATAATAAAGCACCCTGTGCTAAATAATTGCTACTATATAAATATACGCAGTGTGTTAGCAGACAAAGGCGAAAATCACAGAAGCGTCTCAGTCAATGTCACGCACAAAAAATAAAAAGTCTTGAACTCGGCAACAATCAGTGCTGCTGAAGAGGAGCTCCAATGTCACTGACAATTTTAACAGAGGTCTTTCCTTGGTATTCCCAAAGTCTAATGAATAATTTATTTATTTTCTCAAAAGATAATATTTTTATTTATTTATTCTGAACTTATTTAAAATTAATTCGCAGTAATTGTAGTACTGTATACAAAAATGCTAAAAAATTATAAAGTGGGCAATTATTTCCTTGAATTGATTTGAATTTTTTAAGAAAGCGGAATTAAAAATAAATGACCTTTCTTTCAATCTCTGAATATTTGCTTCCTTAAAAGATTGCAGAGAGAAATTAAACACGAACTGAAAACTTTTACGCCAAAAAAGTACCATATTTGTCAAGCAAGTCTTAACTTTCTCGTACACTTTAAAATCCAGAACATTTTTCTTCAGCAAGTGTAAAATTTTTTCCTGTACCTAACTTGAATAATAAAGACTAATAGCATGTAGCATGTTCATATATCAAACAGGAAAATAAAATTTAATTTCATCATTTAAGGAATGTGAGAGACACGAATTTTGACAGAAAAAAACACTACTCTACACTAATTTGAACAGAAAAAACACACGCACACTAACAATTATCTGAGAAAGAAAATTATAGTTGCAAGACGTTATTAGTTATGAATACTATATAAAAATTTTAAGAGGATTTTACGTCGTTTATCACTAAAACTGTGCGCGAGAAAAACTTGGCTTCAAATAATACACCAAAATTATGACTTTTGATGATGAAACTAATTTTTAATGTTTTAATGACCCACAATCTTAACTTCATGAGTCTAGAAAAAAATCATAATTTTAATTAAAAAACGAACGCCTACACTTACAAAAATTTGAAGAATTATATAAAATTTATAAAACAAAATTTGCTCATTTTATATCTTACAGTGTGAGCTTCATGCGGCGAAGTACAATATCAAAAGTAAATTATAAAATTATCTACAGTTTGAATCAAGACATCACTCATTCCAGCAACCTTGGGGATGTTTTGCTTCCTAACGATTAATTAATTAATGAATCACCACTTGGCACAAAAGCAACAAAAACCAGAAATACAAGAACATTTTTATTTTTATGCCGTTTATTTTTTTGACATCTAATGTAACAATTGCACAAATCTGTTTATCTCAAAGAAGTAAGAATCTCCATTTAAGGGACAAGGAGTGTGTCACTCGCGTGGAGATAAATTAGTTTTATCGTCAATGCAACCGTCAACCGTGTATAGTTGAAAGTTGAACGCAGCTAATTTATATCAACTGCAAGAAGAAGTCAAGTTTTTAGGTCAACGATTAGTCCCTGCTCTGTACGCACTTTTGTCACCTAGAATAATTATAATACAAACATCATCAAGTTTAATTACTCACGTCAAATAATCACGATGAAGTTAATTCTTTTTAATTCATCTCTTTCTTGATAAATTAATTTAATTATGAAATTAATGTTATTTTTTTATAATTTTTCTATGCATAATTAATCACAAAAGATTAAAAATAATAATTTCTCTTTCACAAAAGTTTACAATCAAAATTTAAAAATAAAACAGGTAATTAAGAAATTTTAAGAAAAAGTTTGACTATAGATTAATAAAAAATAAAAACCTTTCAAATAATAGAAAACTAATCTACCGTCTTAAAAATTTCTTTTTCCAGTTTGGTTTGACTCGATTGCGTCAAATTTACAATTGTCAATGACTGGAGCTTTTGCATTATTATACAATATTGCATTTGCAACGTTCGACTCTAGCCAGCAGCTCTCTTTTGTAACGATCGCGTCTCTATGTATCGCTCGGAGCGTAGTGATTTATTGTTTGTCGAACAACGAGCACTCGGCACTACACGCTTGCTTACTTTCTACATCATGATAAAAGCTCAAGAATGGTTAGATTAGCCGCGAATGAACTCGCACTCTGGAAGCGTGCTTATAGCTTTTCTCTCCTATCGTGGGATGAGATGCAAATTGCAAAACTCATCATTATGCAAAATGCGCTTTTATCTTTTGCAAACTGCTTTGGCAAGAGAACCAGCACATTATAACAGTTGCGAAATTAAGCTAAACGTTTAGCATTGATGAAAAAATTACGATAATGTAGTAAAATGAATAAACTAATGGTCAAATTACTTACAAACATGCTGTAAAAATGTTTTTGGTTCAGCCAGGCTAAGTTTTTATGGTTCTGGATATTTGAATAAGATCAAAGGACACGGAGATGATCCTTAATTGGAGCTATCTTTTTCTTTTGCCAAAGGTATGAACGAATCCAAATGAATAATTATTATATTATCCCAGTAATCCATAAATTCATTGTTACAAATTTGAACGATTACAAGAAAGAGAAAAACAAGAATATAATAGAGAACAAAACAAAAGCACTCATTGAATCTGCATAATATTTTTTCCTTGCTGATTTGTTAATGCTAAATTAAATTTGTTCAAATTTAAAAAATGTTTGTTATTTTGAACAGGTGTACCTGCGGAGTTCAGCTACCACGGGTCTGCCCTTTGGGAGGGCATGTACAGCAACATAATCGCGTTTCCCTTGATCGCCTACATCTTCATTCCGACCTTTTACAAACTGAAGCTCACCTCTGCTTACGAGGTAAATTTTTTACCTGCTATGCGAAAATAATTCCTTATGGGAATGTGATATAATTTTAAACCTGTTGAGAGATACGAGATCACACACCACACTTTAAATGTCGACAACTTTTCCTGATTGAGCGGTTTGGAGGAGAAAGTGAATCGAGAAGTCTACCTCGCGCACTGTCTCAAATTAACAATGATAATGTTGTTGACCGCAGACTTTGAACTCTTGTCCCCCAAGGCGTTCCTAAATTAATTGAATTAATTTACAAAAATATATGAATAATAGGAAAAGCCACCTAAAATTCCGATTTAATATTTTTATAAGTGTCTTTTAATTAATTCTTTTATCTATTCATTACAAAAATTTACATTAAAAAAAACTCCAACATCAAAAGTTGAAAAAGTATAAAATTTAAAAAAATGACCAATCATTTTCTTTAAAAAAATATAATTTCTACACGCTCCATTTATAAATCGAAGGTTCACAAGAATAGTGGTGCTGAAAAAATATTCCCACGCAGATTGTTATTTTGCGGCTGAATAAAAAGTACCATACTTTCTCAAATCGATTGGCGGAAAGTTGAGCAAGTGATAATAACAGCAGTTCTTTTTTATCTCGTCCCGAAGCACATTTTGTTCCTGGCCTCGGGCTATTTTTATGCGATTCTGCACGCTTCTCTTTTTTTTGTCAGCGTGAAATCGCCGCTCTCTGGACATTAGCAGTCCCAAGAATGCCCCAGATTTGATTTTAATTGTGTGTGAAAATTATATGTGTCGCAATAATTTGTTGTTTAATGGCAGTACTTAGAGTTGCGGTTCAACAACTACCTGATCCGGTTGATGGCCTCGCTGACCTTCAGCTTGCAATCCATGCTGTACCTAGGGGTGGTCGTCTTTGCGCCATCCATTGCCCTGAACACCGTTGCAGGATTCCCGCACTGGGTTTCAATGGTCGGAATCGGACTGATCGGCACCGTTTACACCGCTGTTGTGAGTTATTTGAAGTTATTTTCATTCAATATTTTGGAAAATTGAGATTATTTAAAAAAAAAAATGATCTATTTGCCAGGATTACTCAACTAATTTTGAGAAGAAAAATATTAAATTTGTCTGTAACTTTTTATAAATTTTATTTATTTTTAAATTAAAATTTAATAGTATTTGTACTTCTTTAATTCATTATTAATCTTTATAGCTAAAATTGTAACATTTTAGCTTACATCTTTAGTTTCATTGATATTTTAATATTATGCTTTGTTTTAATAAGGTTTAAAAGTAATTATTAAACATCAATAAAAAAAAGAGTTATATTATAATACTATTTTTGTTTTAAATTATTTTCTATTAGGGTGGTTTGCGGGCCGTTGTGTGGACAGATGTTCTGCAAGGCATTCTAATGTTGGGTGGTCTCCTGGCCATCATCGGTGTTGGGGCCTTGAAGGTTGGCGGTTTGACAGAAGCTTTCAGAATCAGCGGCGAAAGAGGCCGGCTCGATTTTTTCAAGTAGGCCAATTTTTTATTAATTAAATGGAGATAAAGGAAAATTTGATTTGTGAACCTTTTTAGCATGGACCCTAATCCCTTTTTGAGGCACACGACCATGATTTGCATGATCGGCTCAACTTTCAATACCATCGCCACCTTCGGCTGCCAGCAGACCGCCGTCCAGAGGTATTGCAGCACGTCTAGCTTGAAGAGCGCAATTTGGTAAGTTGCATTATGTAATTAAAATATTCAAAATTTAAATTATTAATTTTCATTATACACAAAATAAAAAAGGAAACTTTTTACAAATAAAATTCACTTTAAATAAAATGTACTAAACTGACAAAAAAATAATAAAAAACCTTAAAAATTATTTTCTACAATATTTTGCAATCGTTTCTAACATTCTATACAACTTTTTAATTAAAAAAAAAAATGGATATTTATTATTTATTTGTGAATTTTTTTGCCAGGACTTTACTGCTGAACATTCCCCTGCTGACATTCATGGTCAGCTTGGGTTGGATCGCGGGCGCGGTGGTTTTCGCCGTTTACGCCAACTGCGATCCAGTCCTCACCGGACACATCAAGGACAAGGACGCCATCGTACCGTATTTTGTTCTGCGCTACTTTGCTGATACCCCTGGACTGTTGGGACTTTTCGTCGCCAGTCTCGTAAGCGGAGCCTTGAGGTACGAAAAGTTTAAATAGAAAATTAATGAAATAATAATTAAAATTCTTAGCTCCGTTTCGTCTCTGCTGAACTCTATTTCTGCCGTGGTTTGGCAGGACATTTTCAGCCAGTTCACCTACTTCAGCCAAAAAGATGAACAGTCTCAGTTGAACATTACTAAATCTCTTGGTAAAAAAAAAATTAAAATGTTTTAAAGATTATCAAATTTTGCAAGTTTTGCGGATTATAAAAATTTACCGTTTTTTCTATTAGTAATATAGAAATAAATGATTTTGGAATTATTTTCTAGGTTTCGTTTTTGGTTTTCTGATGATCGGTCTTGGCTTTTTGGTCAGCAACATATCCGGGCTCATTCAAACAACCTTCACTGTGGTCGGTGCAGTTCAGGGCCCTCTGCTCGGCGTTTTTCTTCTTGCCCTTTTCATCCCGTGGGCCAATAAATACGTAAAATTTTAAATTCAATTTTTTTAATGCATAAAGATAAATTTATTTCTCTCAGGGTGCCATTCTGGGCATGTTGTGTGGCCACGCTCTCTCATTGTGGATCACCTACGGATCGCTCGGTCTGACCGCCAAACCACCATATCTGCCGCTCTCCGATCAAGACTGTTCCGACGAACTCTGGTTCGAATCTTCCTTCGGCGACAACAAAACTCTGAGCAGCCACTTCCCGGGCGCCAAGTACTCCTACACGCCCGCCACACCCGTTCAAACTGATCTGTAAGTACAAATTTCAAAAGGTAGGCTTTTTGCAAGACTTCCGAGTCAGGCAGGTTGCCTACCATTATCTCAGCAGGGGCGTTAATTTTGCCCTTTTTACAGTGACTGGCCAGAGAAGCTTTTCACCGTCTCGTATCTTTACTACGGAACCATATCCTGTTTTGTTACTGTGATAATAGGATTTGTGATCAGCACACTTACAGGTATTTTCATAAAATATGTATTTTCTGGAACAGGAATAAGCATCAATTTTTTTAAGCTTTTTGCGTTGATGAAACTCCTGATGTCTCTCTACTGCACCCCCTGGTCCAGCGATTTGTGGTTTCTGATGAGGAGAGGAAGGAGAAAAGCAACTACGGAATCAAGCCCAAGTTTGATGGACCCAAGGATGCAAAGTGCAAATGTTCCTCTTACACTCTATCCTCAGAACTTTAGGGAAGGGTTATTTATTTCTGGACTTGTACAATTTGGTATTTAATTTGTAAAAATGATTTATTATTTAATTTTCAAGTTTTTTCTCTAACGTGAACTGTATATAGTTTTATAATAAAATGAGACTTAATTATAAAATATTTTTTTCCAAAAAAAAAAAAAACATCAGAAGAATTTTTAGGAACTTTTATTATTATTATAATAACTTTGAAATAAAAGAAGCTTGTTTCGATCTGCAATTTTATTCAATTAATAATAATAAAGAATGTATTCTGAATAAAGTTACACAATAATAATAATTACACAATCAATGACATAAATATCTAAAAATCGGAACTTCTTTTTCATTAAGCCACGTGACCGCTCAAATATTATCAAGAATAATAATGCAATTTAAATAATCTTTAATTCTTTTTAGAAACCAGTGTAACACTTCTTAAATAGGATCGCGAGTAGTTCCGGTCCGACAGTAGCTCTGTATAATTGTTTAATTAAATATATGCCGTTTAAAATCACGAGTTTGTCTCAAAAAGAATGGTAACAAATTAAATAATTTCCTCGGCCGACAAATATATAATATAAATTCAAAATCATGATATAGTACATAAATGAATTAAAAACTTCATCCTGAATACAAACAGGAAATGCAATCCCTAAGACTTAAAGCGTTGGATTCTCTACCGATATGTTTTGACGCCTCCACTGAAAAATCGGCGAGTTTTTCTTTTTTGATGACAAATTTCTAACAGCTATACAGCAACTAAAAATTTTGGCTAGTTCAAAAAGAAAACCAGCAATTTATATATTTCAATTTTCAACGTGAAAAGCAGCGCGATAAGAAAACGTTCATCATAGTATACAACTAGCTGACGGTTTGAGACTTTTTCCATTGAGTTTATAAAACATTCAATTTTTCTCATTTAAAAATATAGAATTGCTCTGAATACGCATCAATTTCCTCGCTAGACAAAAATTATCTCAGATGATTCCACTTTTGACCCGGATTTTTCCGGAAAAAAACAGGAGCAGCTAGGAAAATCATAAAACGAGGAAAGTAGAATGTGTGTGATGTTTTCTAATGCTTCGGCAATCACATATTTCAATAAATAATCAACTACAAAAGTGACACCTAATATGGCAATTATTTTGAAGAAAAATAATTATATTAATACTAGTTTGGGGTTTTGCCGAAATAACATAAGTCGAAGGAAAACCGATTGTTAATATCAGAAACATAAAGACAGGAAGGACGACTTATCTCTCGATTCGTTAAGTCTAAATTACAGCACCGTTGATTATCACTTATTACGCTTATTTACAATCCAACACTACTTCGGGGCGAGGCTCGTCAGCCAACACAATTAGCATTTTGCGATTCTTATTCATTACAAAGGGACCAATTTTTTAAACTCTTTTATGAAAGATATTTTTTTGATGAATTTGATTTTCAGCTGTGTTCTAAGCAATAAATACCCTTGACTTTATAGGTGCACTTGTTTTGGTCACTTTACTTTTTTTGAGGCGAATCAACGTTTAAATTTCTTCCTATTCGGAAAGACTAAGTAAGTCTATTGGAGGTTATTAAATACTCTTCTAACCGCTAACGAATCGTTCTGCTCAAGCCTGCCGTCCTTTTTTTCTTTTCATTAAATTTCTACATAAAGTCGGTACAATAATTTATGCCAATTTACAGCCGCGTCTCATTTCAATTTTGTGCCACTTGCTAAGTGAAACCTCCTACGTGCCTGGTTGGTCAGCTCTAGCTAGTCGGTGATTGAGATTTGCGCAAATCCTACCAAGGTTTTCTCGTCAGGTATCTCCAGCGGATTTGTTCCAGAACTCTGCAAATGAATACACATATTTCTCTATGAGAAAGGGTAGAATTGGAGTTTTTGGCAGGAAAAAACTAAAAAAAAAACAAACAATAAAGTGCAGAGGATCACAAATAGAAAAGATGTGCTGGTATAAGAGAGTAGAAATAGAAATTATTATGCTGAAAAAGCACGGCAGAAAATCTAAAACTATTAAGCTCACTATTATTTTTTTTCTGAATTAAGTTAGGGACTTTGTTAATTTATACATACATACACACATCACAGTAAAACAAGTTCATGTGGCCTGTAATCTGCAATAAAACACTTAAAAAGGGTTTACGAGGGAGGCTTGGGATGCGAAAACGCCAAAAAGGTAGATTAAAGAAAATTTAAAAAATTATCACAGCAGATGGGAACTTCCAAACCCACAAATTAATTTACTAGGTTTTAAGAAAAGAATTCAATTCAAAAATAATAATGATAATAATAATAATAATAGCAATGTCATTTTTTGCAAGTGTCACTTAAAGAGATCTAAAATCAATAATTTAAATGAACTATTGTTTACAGAAATCATAAAGAATAACTTAACATTTCAAGACTTATTCTAAATTTTTCTTTTACAAAAAGGAATATTGAGTGTCTGTGTCTAATCAAAAGTATCTTGTTTGGAGATTGCAAAATTTAATAAACCCATTTTTTTTTAAATTAAAAGTCAATTTGTAAAAAATGAGCTTTTCAGTTCCTTTCTACTTGGCAAGTTATAAACACAAAAAATGAACACTGAAACCATGCCGAGGGACACTTAAAGGGGACCTTGCAGATTGTTAACGACACATGCTTGATCTGTCAAATGTGGTACGTACTGCCTGCGCCATCTGGTAACTCACTAATGGGAAGGTGACGTTCTTGTTGTTGGCGGACGTGTGGTCAATTAGCTTTTGCAGATTGGCCGCTATCGCTACCATGTCATGGCCGTCCACCAGACCCGCGCTGACGAGTTCCGAGGCTATGCCTTCCGCACTGTCCTTACCCACTGCGAACTCGAATCGGATGTCATTCAGCTCTCTTTTTGAATTCCTGTTCAAAATAAACACATTATTTTACAGTGAAAATAAAATACAAAATTAAGAATGAAAATAGTAAAAAATTTAGGATTATACCTCATTCTAAGTACCAAGTTGATGGGCAAGGCATTGTTAGGTGAAGGGGCGATGGTGACGGTTTGACCTTCTGAAGGTTGAACAGGACCAGAGCCGGTGGAGCTGGTGGTGCTGTTGTTTTGGGCGACCGCAGGTGCAGTATTATTGACGACAGTGTCACCCTTGCTCTCGGCCAGTTCTTCTTCACTTCCCGACGATCCTTGGTGCAACAAAAGGTTCATCGGCTTTTCTTTCTGCGAGTGAGTTTCCTCGTCAGATTCCTGTCAAACAAAGGAAGATTTAATGTGTAAAATTTTAAGATAACTTAGAGCTTTACCTCCTGAGAGGAAACTGCCTCTTCATCGTCTGACCAAACCCATTCTCCGGTTACGGTTCTGTGAAGTCTACCTGATGTTCCTGGCTGTCGTTTGGAAGCCTGAGAAATTCATTTGAGTTATTAGAAGAGAAAAAACATGAAATTATGAAAACAGTAAAATTATCAATTGCAATCACTATAATATAATTTTCTTTCTCAAAATTGACAATTACATTTCAATAAACACGTAGGTAAAAATTATAAAAAAAATATTTCCATACCTTTTGTGATCTGGTTTCAATACTAGGCCCCATGACCACTAGCGTCTGTTGCAGGAATTTCCTATCTTTAGACTTTTTGAAAAACGGATGCTTCAGAAGTTCTGTTGCCGAAGGTCTGCAAACGAAAAACATAATCATCAGTTAAGAGGTGGCTCAATTTTTAAGTTTGGGCACCATTGGGATTTTATTTGAAAATGATAAAATAATTATTTTTTTACACATATCATAAGCTTGCAATAGTTTTTCAACAAATTTCACCTTTTTGAGGGATCCTTTTGCAGACAATCAATGATCATTTTCCGGAAGGTCTTGCCGTACGCCTTGTACTGGTCCTTCTCCTCAGCACCGGTGTCCAGAGTGGGCGGATCGTTTTGCAGGGTGAGCATGAGCACTTTCATGGGCGGGTATTTGTGATAGGGAGCAGTGCCGGTGGCCATCTCAATGGCCGTGATGCCGAAAGACCAGATGTCGGCCTTGAAGTCATAGCCGTGGTCCTGCTCCATCACCTCAGGGGCCATCCAGCAGGGGGTGCCCACGAAGGTGTGACGCACCTTCTGTCGAGAAAGGTCGCGACCTGTGGCCAACCAGGCGCTGACTCCGAAGTCAGCGATCTGGACTGTTCCGTCTTCACCGAGCAGGATGTTGCCGGCTTTGACATCTCTGCAATTAAATTGATTGATTAAAAATAGTTGTTGCTTGAAAGAGCAGGATGCTTATTGTGTTTCTTATATTGAAAAAGAATTTGTACAATTACCATTTTTCATGAATAATTTTCGAACTAACAATAACGTAAGTTTTTCTTTTTCTTGTTAGAGCATCTGGCATTCATTTTTAATAATTATCAAAATTCAATAAGTACATAAAAAAGTTTAAAAATTTCAAAATTTAAACCTGCTTTAAACAATTTTGAAATAAAATTTATCTCTCAATGGAAATAGGATCTCTTAAAAATAGGCGATTTAATACATTTATTTAAAAAAAAATCTAAATCGTCTTGAAATTTAAGGATAATTATACATAAAAATTTGAAAGAAAACATACGCTTTAATATAAGGAATAATAATAAATTGAGCACAAACAAGGACAAAACAATAATGTTAATGGACACAAAATAAATTTCAGCAAACCTGTGAATCTGTCCGTTGCTGTGGAAGTACTCGAGGCCCTTGAGAACCTCTTTGAGGACGGTGGCGATGGTGGACTCGTCAAACACTCCGTGCTTGCAATTGCTAGCCTTCATCTTGTGCTTGATTATGTCCAACAACGAGCCACCCTCCAAAAGTCGCAGAACTAGCCAAAGCTCCTCGCGAACCACAAAACTTGTGTAGTAGGTGACCACGTTTTCGTGGTTGCACGAAGACATTGCTTGAATTTCTTTCTGCAATAAAAACGAATTTTTAGACTAGAGATTTCTGGACGAGAAGGATAACCGTACTAGAAGTTCGTCCATGCTGGTGTTCCATTTTTCCAAATTTATCCGTTTTATGGCACATTTTTCTTGGCGAGGCTTGCAGAAGGCCCCGTGAACCACAGCCGTTGCTCCGACACCTAAAATTGTAAGTTAATGTAAATAATTCACATAAAAATTGCAATATTTAATTAAAGTAAATAATATACCATGGGAAATGGTTTTAACCTTTTTCTTCACATTAAAGAATTTTGAGAGGGGCGTGGCATTTGTAATTTTTTTTAATTTTTACACGAATCAGAATTAATTCAAATTAATTAAACTCAACACCAGAAAGTGATTTTTGAAACGAAAATAAACCAATTTATTTAAAAGTTCTTTGAATTTTAAATGGAATCGTGCCACAATTAGGGAAAAAATAAAAACAAAGCGAATTTTTAAATTCTTCGAGAGGTTTTGCCGGGGGAGGCGTGTTCACGTGGGTGTCACACCCCACTCCCGGTGCTTCCCGGAAGGGTTTGCGCCCCCAGGTCGCGGCCAAACTCGCCGACCTTGAACCTGGAGGGTTCTCGGAACATTCGGGCCGAACGTCATGCGGCAAGAGCCGAGTTTGAGCACCGAACGGGCCGATCGGCGCCGGCACCCCGAGAACGGCGAGCCCGACTTTGCCCCGGGATTGACGGGGCCAGCGACGAAAACGGGCGCCGAGGCGGCGGCGCCGCCGAGCCTCAGCACCAGCGAGGGTCAGGGTCGGCGCTGCTCACCGATCACTTCCTTCAGCTCGTAGTCTTCCTTGGTATTAGGCCACCCAAGGCCGGTCGCACCAGCTCCCGACTGCGCCATTTTCGTTGCTAGAATGTCGCCGACGCTCGGGCGGGGGCGCGACTTTGGCGCGGGAAAGGCCAACTCAGCGCCCGTCGACGACTTGCGCCGGAAGATCCCCGGCGAGCCCGGCTGCACCACCCCCGGTGAGATTTTCCTGCAAAATTAATTGCTCTAATTACATACATCAAACAAAAAGAACAAATAATTGAAAATAAATAATTTCAATTCAAAATAAGCTTACGTGAAATTAACAACTTATTTTGTCATTTTTCAATTGTTAAAGGCAAAGACACAGTTATTTAATTATATAATTATCACACTAAATATTAAAGCAAGGTCCGCGCATCAGCAACAATCAAATTTTCCTGATGAGCGGACCTTAATTATAAGCATATTTTTTGTAAACATTTAATTCATTTAATTGTACGTCACGATTAATTTTCCGCTAATTTGAACTAATTACTAATAATTACAAATAACAAACAAGACTTATTTAATAAAGTTTTTAACGAAAAAAAAAATAAAAATATCAAATTTTCTGTTTTGAAAAAATACAAAGAAACTAAAAATAAAAAAATTATAAAATGCTTCAGAATTATTAAATAATTTGTGCACTTGATCTTCATAAATTTTTTAAATTAATGTGTTAATCTTCATTAGAGCAATATAGCGTTACATGTTTAAAGCTGAACATAAAAGAGAAAACAGGATATCACAACTTTTTACAACACTTTATTGCACTGATGATGATGATATGAATTTGCATTGTAAGCTATATCCGTTCATCTATTCTATAATATTCTCTCCATAATATAGCTGACAGTTAAAATGAAACAAATTACTGGATTTAGTATTAATAACTAGTATGAAAACGAAATCAACAAAAGCAAACAAAAAAATGACCCAACATTTAATATTTTAGCTATGGATAGAGCCAATTGATGAACACAGAAATTACACTAGAGCTGAAAATTGTGACGTTAAAAAAAATTAATCGAAATTAATGACTTCATTATGAAATAAGAACCTTTAATCAATAAAAAATTAGACTTTCAAATATTAAACTATTTTAAAGGTGAGGCAAATATAGGTCATGACATGAATTGTATATATGAAGTTTACGAAATATTGAAATACATGTGCATCCAAAATTTGCTATTTCACTTTTTCCATTATTTACTATTTTTAAAAGGTATCAAGAATTTTTTTTACTTACGAAATTCTCACTAGTCAAAATTTGTGCGCTATATATTTCCTTACTTATCTCTGGACGATGCTTTATTCCGAGAGCATTTTGCGTTTCTGTTTGAATTTTTATTTTCTGCCGAGAGTATCGCGTGTGTGTTTACCTTTTTGCGTTGCCTCGTGACGGGTGATTACGCAACTATGTATCCTTCTGATTATAATGCAAAGTTGGTTTGTGTGTGTCGCTCGTCGGCAGTGCGGCCGTGTCATAAAATTTTGGTTCCCTCGCGGCGGACCCGCGCCGAGAGATAAAATTGCATCAAATATTCTAGGCGCATGCAACTCGGCTAAAAAAGGGAACAATTTTTTGGTTTCCTCGGGGAAAATATTTAATGTATCGAGATTGTTCTTTAATTTTACGCGCCATATTTTTTTACTTCTGATGGCTTCTTCTAATTGCCTATTACATCCTGCAATTTTTTCATACATTTTGATAAAATGACTCTACATATGTAATTATTTTTCAGTTAAAGTGTTTACTTTCATGTTTTAATTTTCATGAATTTTAATTTTTTTTTTTTAAATAATTAGTTTATATAACTGTATCAATAACATTTTCAATCAACAACATGCTCAAAAGTTTTCAAAATTTGATATCAGATGGGTATGAATATTTTAATTTCAGAAGGGTTAAATGTTTAAATTAAATTTGGTTGAAAATTAGTCACAGTCCTTGTTAGTGATTTTTTTGCACAGTACATAATTAGCGCCGTGTTAAACAAATTATCGCCTGCTTTGAACATTGATATTTTTGTTACCTGTGTCTGCCCACCGTGAGGTGGGCCAAAATGCCCGAGTTCTCTTGAAAACTGGGGCCCCTGGTGAGCGGGTGGCTGTTAGTGTATCCAAGGGGGGCATGGGCCCTGGCGCGGGCCCTCGCCACCGACACCGGATTTTTAGGGATCTGCACTGGAATAGTAGTGGCACCACCACCAACGACGCCCGGCGAGCTAGATTGTGGAAAAACCAACCAGAAAAAAGAAAGAGAGTTTTTTAGCCAGAAAAATAAAGACTCACTTCACGTGCAATCGGTGCAATTTTGTACAGCATTCGAAAATGAAAGGATGAGAAGTTATGGTTACGAAGAAAATCAGATCAAATACTTATTGTTAGGGAGAGAAAAAGATGGCAAAAAATAAATCATGCTTAGAAAATGATAATTATATTCTAAAACGCCTCGAGCCATATCGTGTACTTCACAAAGAGCGTTTATTAATTAATATTCTATCCTGGCCGCCAGGCTAGAGTAATACAGTATAATTGGGTATATTATATAAATCTGACGTAATTACAGCCTGTCACCTTTTTATTTGAGGCGGTTTAGACCTTGGCTTGCAAATATTAAAAAAAAAAAAAACTATCTGTAGTTGCAAATAAAAAATTACGCTGCTTCAAATGAGTTATAAATTATAACCTTCACACTTTTAAATTTAAAAAAAAATCCGATTTTCTCAATTAATTAATTTCTGTGCTTCTGCAAATTTTGAATTATAATAACCCTTTGTTCAACCTGAATCTTAGCATGGATGACCAGGATGAATAAAAATGGAAATGAAGCTATCGGGCTTTTCCTCGTTGCAGAAAATTGTTTTTATTCAAAACAAATGGCTCATGATTAATGAATTTTAAATTGTCGTACTTATACCGTTGACTTGTTAATAAATCCAGCGAAAATTATATTTACAAACCTTTTATTTTTGCTTAACCAATTTTATAGAGACAGAACAATTATATTTATCTTAAATAAAACAAAGTAAATTAAACTATATTGATAATTACCAAATAAATTTCATTGAAATTAAAATTAAAATAATTGATTGGTGTATGAAGTTAGTTCCAATTTCAAGCATTATCTTTATTTGTGAGGAATAAACAATAATAAGTTGATTTAATGGAGAATAAATAATTAAGATGATTGACGGCTGTTTAATTTATGCAGACAAAAATCTATACCTCAAGTTATGCATGATCAACTTAATCTGTGATTTCGCAACGGTTAAAAGGAATACGATGTACAATGTGTATTATATAAATTACACGCGCGTGTATTTTAATTACACCAGTCCATCCTCTCGTACAATTACGCCAACGTAAATCATTCTCGTTAAGCAAATGCACTGCGTTTTAAGGAGATGTGTCGAGAACGAAAGGAACGAGCGAGACGAGTTAGAAAATTGTAAAAGGCAGTGCCGAGAGCGAGAAGTGTAATAAAATATTTAATTCCTTTTCTCGACACTCAGATGGATATATGGATGCGTTTCTTTCAACGGCCTGGGGCCAGTGGATGCACCTATAGCTTTGAGCGAGTGTGACGCGCATTCGATTATGAAAATAACGTGCCCTTTTATAAATCAAGCTGGATTTTATTATGCAGACAGCGACGGAGCACAATCCTCGGCATGAATATGCAATTAGGGGACGAGAAAATAATGCAAATGTTCCATAGAGGTGCACTTCGAAAAATTATAATTAGAATGAGCCGCGTCCAATGTGGTAATAAAAACCCTTTTGCGCCGAGAGTTACGCTTTGCTATTCCCGGAATTGTGTTTATTGATGCAATCAATTTCCTTCACTGTCAGTCCTATAAATAACGAAAAAAGAAGAAAAAAAAAACGAGTTGTTTGTTTATACACACTTTGTAAACTAGAACAGATATATTTGTAAAATTGTAGTACAAGCAGTTTTTCTAATTAATTGATTACAGGTTTGGTGAGCACAAACTGGTCTCTTAATGTATCAATTTATTTAAAAGCCGCGATTTAGATCAAAGTGGCGCCAGAGAGGTGATTATTTTGATTTACGGCACATTCGTCCGTCAACTGCAGAAAAAACGTAAACAAGCAAGAAGGAAAGATAAACATGTAACTCCCTCGGCGCCGCCGACTGCGGTTTTTTTGAGGAAGTGAGCGATAATTATATAGGCACGCGTGTACGTCTCCATAATCCGCACTGATTACAGGTTTTGTAAGAATGGCGCCGTGTGTTGTTGCGTTCATTTGCATGCCGATCATTCAAATTTCAAATGGGGCAGAGAAATCGTCTCGTAAATCAGCATTTATCGCTGAAAGCGAAATTCCAATAGCTGGTATTACACAATTATTTGGCGCCTGGAAAATAGCCCTGAATTATCCTATAGTAAACTTGACTCTCTTTTTCAAGAACAAGATTTCTGTGTGCAAGGTACTTCAAATGAGGAAAAAAGTATAATTTGCACACATGTTGCAAAATAGAGTCAAATATTTATTGAAAAGAAATTGACATGTCCTTGCGAATCAAAATATTTTTACGCTTTACAACCATAAATTGTATACAAAATGAAAATAGTCAGTTTTCATTTTATACTTTTATTAAAACGTTGAACAAAAATTAACACAACTAAAAGGAAATATTCCGTTACGTAATGATAAACTTTTCAGAAAATCATCGTTTTAATAAAATAAATTTATGACGGTCATATAATATTTCCATAAGTAATATGGATACTTTATTTAAAAAAATAAAAAATTACTTCACAAATTATAATTAAAAAGAAAAAAAAGATTTGGAATAGCTTGAAATTTAACATTTTCTCGATCTTTAAGGACTCCTTATTGCCCTAGTGAAATCTAGTCTTTACATACAACAACAGAAGGCATTTTTGGCAATCATTGTTAAACAATTAGAAATTTTAACCAACCATTGTTGCAAAAACTTTATTTGAATTTATCCATAGTGAATCTTTAAAAAGTGTCATTGAAACAACTCAAAAATAAACATTTCAAAATCTGACAATTTTAAAATAGCAAAATAAATTAATAAACTATCAATCATTAAATTTTTTAGAGCTGTTAGGTTTTCATGGGTTTGGATAAATATTTTTGATCTAGCTACCGTAAATTTTTGAAAATGTTGATGATTTTCATTGTTTTCTCTTATAGAAGAATTGGGGAAAAAAAATTATAATAGTAAAAATCTTAGAAATTAAAATAATAATTTAAATAGAACTGGTGATGAATCCTTTAGTCTTTTTTTAATTTTTACACGAGATTGAATTATAGGATAAATTTGATCCATTTTATTATTTCCTAATCAATTTAATTTTATAGCTCAATGAAGCAGCCTTCATTTTCCTCGAACAAATTGCGAGATCATCCAGGCCTCGGAGCCAGACCCGAATCGGACCGCTCTGGTTGCGGACAAATGAAAATAATCAGCGAAACAATCTGGAGCACAAAAGGGTTTCATTGTTGGATTGGCCCTTTTGCAAGTCCCTGCGGACACATGCCATAAATGAAATGAAGTGTATATTATTTTTATGGGCCCGTCTCATCAGAGAGGATCGAGCCCCCAATATAATAAATGGAGAGCGTCCCTGGCCCTGCGTTGTGCAGCCGATAATGAAAATGTTGATATGCACTCGCATAGCTGGAGGCCAAGATATTGCCAATTATTATGCGGACGAGCAGGTCAAGGCGCAAGTCTTTAGTCTTGCACCCTTGTAATTGGAAAAATAATGCCTGGACAGCTAGAATATTTGCCAACGCGTTTTCAACAACTGTTGTTTCCAATGTGTCAGTTTTACATCAGCAGGCGAGACAGATATTAATTTGTTTTCCTCCTCTAGTGTGTCTTTTTGACACCTCTCTCAATTGAAAATTAAACGAACTTGATGTTTGCTTGTTATTTTGCAACATATAGTCCATATTTTATTTAACTTTAATTATTCATTGTAAATAATGCACAATGACATTATTTTTGCAAAATGCACAACTTTTAATGTTTTCAAAGAATTTGCTGGCATAAAAATTTCAAATCGCGTGGATTGTTTTTATTTTCAGAGAAAAAGAAATCGCAATCTAATTAAAAATGAAACTGTAGTGAAGATTCAATTTCTATTAAAAATTTTAATGAAGCTCACTGCGGTGGTTGGTGTCTTTTTGATGTGAGAAGTTTTATCAAAATATTTTTGCTAGTCAAATTAATTTTACAATAATTTGTGAAAAATTAATTAGTATTATTTGATACTTCAATACTTTAATTAATGGCAAAGAGAGATATTAAAATCTAGTTTTGAAATCCTTCAATTATTTTATCGCTGCTTTTTTATATCATGATATAAAAAAATTTAAAATCTTTCTTGTGAAATGAAGGATAATTATCAGTAAATAATTTATATAACCAGATTTTGGATGATTTTATAATTAAAAATTATTAAAATAGTTTTAAATATTTTGTCTAAAGTTCATAATCGTCTGATCAAAAGCATTTAGCAATTTGGATTGCGATTTTCTTCATCCACTCCGTGCCAATTTCAAAAAAGGTCAGCTCTCTTGGGAAACTCCAGATCGTTTCTCCGCTGAATTGACCTTAGTGATAATTTCCAGAGAAAAAAACTCTTGCTTGACGGCATTCCCGCTCGTACAGAAATAGACTCTGCTCTTGGATTTATTTCGCCCCTCTCTCGGAAGTCAATTTGAATAACACGCGTAATTTAATCTGCGCTTTATTAGGCCTCTTGACTGCTCTCACTCCAATTTGCGCGATTACCAACATAAAGCTTGGCCTACATTTGCATAAATGTACGCAGGTAAGTATACACAATTTTTACTCTGGCCGCCAATTTTCATGATTTTTCGTTCAAGTTCAACCGAGCAATTTTCGCACACGTGCTCGCCGTCGCCGGGCGATAACAATCGCGAAAATATAAATCACTCGTGGTATGCATTGTGTCTTGAAGAATAACTTATGCTTGCTGATAGCGATCTCTCTTTTTATTTTGTTTTAAATTTTAAAACGCACTCGCGGGCCGGGATAAATCAAAATTATTGAGCTTAATAATAAATATAATAATCTCTCTGGACAAACGACTGCTGCGCACTGCGCGCGACTAACCTACATTTGAAATCTCGTCCGACTCTTTTATTTGTTGTTATGTACCCTTGACTCGGATGGATGAATGAACCACACCGGGGGATTATACGCGCGCACACGCAGACACGGTTATCGCGTTTTTATTATTGGACACACGCTGATAATGAAAAATATTAACCCAGTATTTGCCCTTGATTTGTGTGGTGTTAATTGTTGACCTCCAGCGTTGTGTTGAAATCAGGCATTTGTTTATTTTAATAATCAATTAGGATTTAAAATTTAGGTATTTTATGATATTATAGACCAAATCGCATTAAATAATCCAATACTAATTCAATATTTTGGCTACTCGAAATAGATTTATCATTTAAAACCTTCATAATCGTCTTACAATTAGGATAAAACATGTTATTTTATTGTTTAAAAAAATTTTGATACTCCAACTTTTATAGAATTACAATGCCTAAAAATTATGGTTTTACTTCATGTTAAGGTGAAAGCAAATACGTGACGGAAAACAACTCCTTCGATTTTATTAACTCTGAAAAAAAGGAGCAATTCATTATTATAATTAATTAATTTTACAGCGATTTATGAGATTTCTCCGTCAGCTGTTTTTTAATATTAATTTTTGTAGAAATTATTTGAAATTTTGTTGCGAATTGACAATTTTTAATGCAAATTTTATTGTTAATATTTCCCATTCTAAAGCTCAAAGTACGCATATTATCGCGTTTGCCTGCATGTTACTGCATTTTATTTCACAACATCTGTTCATATCAGTCTCGTTGTTGTCAATTAAACTGCTATTCCCATGCCCGCACGCATCTATTTTTTGTAATAAAGTGGCATAAATTAATATATGTGTAAAACGCGCGCAGATAGAAATAAATATGCGCTCTTTAAAGGAAAGTTAGATATACATTCAAACGCAATAACAACACGGCTGCGTGTGTGCGATTGTCCTTCTTCGTCAACCTGCTGTCGCGTGTGAAAATAAATAGACTCTCCGGCCTGAACTCTCTCGGTTCTGGTATAAGCCAGAAATTAAGTCTGATTGTACAGCATGGAAATATAAAATAAGAGAGGTGAAGAAAGAAAAGTAAGAAAAAAACACAATTGAAGAAAAATCTGGAACTTTTCCAAGCAAAACAAGTTTTGTTATTTAGAGACTTTGAAACAATGGCAATCAATATGAAATATTATATAATCTTTTTGGAAAATTAATAATTAATAAAAATTTTAAAGTGCATTTCAACAATCCATGATCAATAATATTTAAAAAAAATTTACCGTTGATTTTTGAGAAAATTGAATTTTCCATGAGATTAATATGATTCTGCATTAATGAAATTTAAAATTAAATCAAAATTATTAAATTATATTTATAATAAACCGCTACATCTTAATGATTTTGTCCCTCTGACAAAGAGCATTCACACGCGTGAATTAATTAAATAATTAACCCGCTAATCATGCGAGTCAACGCCTTCCTACTCGGGTCCTTTGTTTCAATCAGAAGCAAAACACAATGCTTTTCAATAATTATTTTTCAATTCATCACGGCGTCGATTCAACTGGCATAAATTATGAGACGTCACCCGAATGGAAAACAATTAATCGCTACCGCGCGCGGAATGCATCCAAACATTTGTATTAATATTGGTTTGTTTGTTATTTGTTTGTTGTCGGGTGCGCTGCAGTTAAGTGAAGGCGAACTCTCAAACAAACGAGCGTGCGTCCTCACTCGCAAGTGCTCTCGTAATCAATTACGGCGTGCCCATATCCAGATGCAATCAAAGGCCGTCGAATTCCACATTAAAAGGCTATTCAGCCGGCGACGACAGGTGCATGCTCAATTTTTGTACTTGCGTACACACCGCGGACTGCCTCGAGATTTTTCTTTCGGTGTCCAGATCATGTGCATGACTCATTATTTGTGCTGCCAGCAGGTTTTTGATTCAGCCTCTCTCACACACCTGAATAACTTTCTTCCACTCAGTGAGTAATTAAGAAATTTCAGAGGCCAATTAATTATAATGAAAATGGCTATAAATTTCATTAAAAAATGTTTTTTTATAATTGTAAGTAAAATTTCAATGAAGTTAATAAAAACAATTGACAAAAAAAAAGGTTAACGGCCCAGTTTTTAGCACACAAAAACATAATTATGGAATTTAATTATAAAACGGGTTGGCTCTTATTCCTGGTTACATAACATCAAACTTATGTAAAGCAAATTTAATAATTTAAATAGCAATTTCATGATCTTCAATAAAACTATTCCTGCGTCAATTTCATAGAGATTTTAATTGAAAATTGAAATTTACGTGAAAAATGCAGGAAATCTTCTGGGAATAAATTTAAATTTTTCATATTTTTCTTTTATAATTAATTTTGTCAGCTCAAAATTCAACTTTAAAATTTGGAGTTGATTCTCCTCTTTACACCTGTGCAGTACTTCTGTTTTTCTTTGTACTTATCGCTGCAGTAAGCCAGAAAAAAAGGAACCGATAACCATTGCACAAACAAAAATTTATAAATAGATGTGATTTTGTGTTTTTGAACTGCGCACGTGCCTATCATGTGCTTAACGAAATTATTTAGAGCTGTTCAAACGTTTTTCTGTGTAATGTATTTTCCAAATGTTCTAGAACTTCTATTCATTGTTCACAATTTGACAACAACAAAAAATAGTAATTCTTAAAATGCTTAAAATATTTCATTGAATTCATCTATCGGCTCTATAGCTTCTTATTATAATGTAATAAATGCTTTTTTGATTAATATAAACGGCAGGATTTAAGTTTAAAAGAACAATTGAAATTAGATTAATTATAAAATTGTCCAATTTTCAGTAAAAATTCATTTATTTTATTTTTCAACTAAATATTCTTAGCGTTTTTCCATTCCACTTTAAAACGCATACATTATATTTAAAATTAAGAATAATGCTGATAATTTCTCTTAAATGTTTAATATTTATTATGCAACAAATAAAATTGAGCTTCAAAATTTAAGTGCATTAAGCATAATAATATATTATTTTAATTAAACTTTGATTTTTGTTGTCCAGCATTACATAATATTTCATTGAAATTGAACAAATATTTATTTAAAAAAGTTTCGTACTTGCGAAGTTGAAGTAAATCATTGCTATATTCAATGGGAAAAAATGTTACTTAGGAATAGACAAAATTAATTTGCACGGGGCCGTCCAGAGCGAAAATAGCTCTCAACGAATGATATGTTGGTGGAGAGCAAAGTGAGAAAAGGTGGAATCAATAATTACCTGTTGTTTGTCTGCAGGCGACAAAAGTTGACAAACTCCGTCGAGGCTGACATTTTGAGCGTTCCCGTCACTCTGCACTAAAGCTGCTCCCGAAAAATAACTAACTCGCCAACAATAAGCGGGCGTGGACAACAAGCAGATTGCGAGGCACTTCTTCCAGTACTCTCGGTCCGACTTGACGACGCCGCAGTGACAAACTCGCTCGCTCGCACGGCCAAAGCTGCGTCCCGTGGTCGTGATAAATTAACACTGGCTACTCAATCACTTAAACAATAATCACTCGGCCGAACCGTCGGTCGGTCGGTGGTAGGGGCTCCGCCAGGATCCGAGAGTAGAAGGAGTTCTTTCGTACGTATGTACCCCCGTCACGTCTCCAGCACGCAAATCCAATTTGAATATTTGCAACTCGTGGACAGGTGGACAGATTTATGAATAGCGAAAAGTATAGAGGACAGAAATTTTAGCTTTTGAGAAAATTGAATTCTATTTCAAATTAAAAGGCAAAAATTACATTTAAACAGTTGATATTTTTTTAAATTTTAAATAATATTTGAACAAGACATTGAACAATGTAATTGTAATAATGTGTGGAAAAATAAACTGGGCTATTGTATTGCGAAATGATCAGATATATGCAAATATGTATTTCTTGGACTCAAGAAAATTTGCAGCATCTGTGAAACTTTGGATTTAGGGCTTTTTTTAATGTAGAGACCAAAATTTAAAGACTTTTGTAGCAACTTTTAATCACCCTGGAACCTCAAATTCTGCGTATATATTTAATCTTTTTTACTAGTTATTTTAAGATCTTCTATATTACCTTAGAGATATCAATAAAAAGAAAAAACTAAACCAAATGTCTTTTAATGTGCATTATAATAATTAAATTTAAACAAATAATACATTATAGAATATTAAACGTAATCTTTTAAATTAAAAAAATGTTTATAGATTATTTATGTCATTAATTACTATTGTTGTTTATCTTACCATTTTTTTTTTTTATTAAATTAATCTCAGTTTAGATTCAATTATTCAATTATATTTGTAATTTTCGCTGAAATTTTCAAATTCAGTTAATATCTTTATAAAAATATCTGCGTAATTTACACTGTTTACACAATTATTTGACTTTTTATAATATTGTATAATATATAAAATTGTGCCAGTTAAGTTGATGAGTGATGCGGTGTCATCTCTCTAATTGTAGTCGCAGACAGGCCTGTGGCAAACACTTTTATAACGAGATCATTATCATAATAATCTCGCAAGTATCAGCTAGATATGAGAGATCACATCTCGTCGGCGGCAACTCATTAGCCAGGTCAAATGGACTGGCGCTGCTCTGTGCAGCCCCGAGCACAATAACATGCAACCGGCGCGCCACAAAAGAGAGAACTGAGCCACTTCTTCGCAAACCGGTGTGAGATCAATTGTGGTAATTGGCTGCAATTCGCAACAATCATAAAAATGTCACACAAATGGCACTCACGGAAGTTCTGCACATTGTCTTGTGAAAAATAATCAATGAAATTAGAATCTATTTCCTTCATTTTAGGGTTTCAAAAATTGTGATTTTTAGAATATAAAAAATAAAAGATAAATTTGCATTTTCACAAATTTAGCATTAATAAAAACAAGAAAGCAGGTAAATTGTGTAATTGTATTGGTAAAAATTAGAATCGAGATACCCTATTTTTCCCAAAGATTAGCAATTAGTTGCTGACTTTAATGGTTAATGTGGTTCTATAATGTAAGTGAGTTTGCCCAAATGAATCAATTTGGAATTTTTGCTTATAAATTTCTTAAAAATGTAAAAAAAATATACAATTTCTTTGATTCTAAATTTTTAAAAGATTTGATGGAGTAAATTTGTGTATAAAATTATAAATTATCGAGCTTTATTGAGTGCTGAAGTGTGTTGAGTTTATTAATTTTTGTTAACTTTTTTCTCTAAGAAATAATTTATACATATCAGAAGTGCATTCGCAGTTCATATGGTGATTAGCACTGTGTTGCAATGATTGCAGAGTGCATGGATATAATTGCAAACCACTCCTAGCTAATTGTGCGTATCACTTCCCTAATCAGCCCCTTTTTAACACAAACGTGTAATTAAACACCCGCACTGCGCAAATAATTGCTAATTACAGAGAGCGACTTCTTGTTTTCGCGCCCTTCTTTATCTCGGAAAGCAGAACTCTCGAGAATGAATATTAACGCTGGCTGCAATGCTCTTAATTATTATGCACGATTTGCTCCTCTCAAAGGCATAGGGTTTTATTGCCAGTGCTAATAAACAAACTGACGAGGCCATTAACACCGCCTGGAAATTCACGCAGAGTGCTAATCGCAGAGGCAGAGGAAGGAGCCTTCGACATTCGCACTCGACTCTCAAGAGTACACTTATGCCAACTTGTATCAATTACTCAATGAAATCACGTTTAGCCAAGTAAGGTCGTTCAAACAAAACGTTATTTTGTCAAATAAGAGAAACAATGATGCAGCACCACATTAAATTGCAACGAAACTTGATTTTGCTAATTCCCCTGGGGAAAACGAGCGCAGGGTTTTCAGAGAATTAACGAATTGTTAATTTTTCGAAACCACACAGGCATCTCTTCGCATTACGGATTTTGGCAAAATGTGTCTTTATTGCAAAAAGGTGACTTATTGAGCTCATATTTTAGATATTTTACTAAAAGAGTTCCAGGTAAAGTAAATTTTAAGGTGGATTTTTTTAATTCAACATTGATAGTAATATTAAATACATAACTGATATATTTTGATTTCACATATTATTTACTTTAAAATGTGATGACTGATTTTCAAAGAAAACAAAGCATAATCAATTACAATAAAAACGTTTTATCTTTAAAAATAAATTTATTTAACTTGTTTCAATTTTCTGTAAATATTCGTATTGTAGATAATGTGTCAATCAATAAAGCAATAGAAATATTAAAATTTACCCTCAAGATTATATAAAATAAAATTCAAAAATTAAATAATTTTTTTTAATTAGTAAAATTTTTCCTTTTGTTTCACTTTTATTTTCATTAAGAAAGACTTGATGTGCAAGAATCCATTGTTAGATTGAGTGACGAGTGGCGACGAGGAATTAAATTAACTTTAAATTTTATCTTCAATTTGATTGTATTTTTACTCTTGTATTAATATAATGATTTTAGTATTCATTGTATTGATATAATATGACCTTCTCTGATTAAACATTTGACCTAAAAAAGCGTGATAAACAGGAAAAATGTGAGAAAATACTTCTTCTAGGATTTATCGGAATTCATCAATACTGATATAGTCATTAGCTGGGTGGAGAGAAGGTGAGCTTTTTAATATATTCTCTCACCCGCCGGTGTTTGCTGAGCCGCGACGGAGTTCCAGAGAGAGTGCAAATAAGAAAAATGGCTATGCGCTTCATAAATTAGTCAACACGCCGTAATTGCGCATTTTCCCTGTGTATAATTTAATTAAAAGAAAAACACATTATTTTTTCTTCCAATGTTTGCCGTGTTCGCTGAAGGTGATTTGAACTATTGGAAAGAGCAGCCTTGCGTAATTTTAATTAGCTGCCAGGATAAAATGTTTGCTCGTCGTTTTGAGACTGACGGTGAAATATTTAAATTATTCTTGGAGAAAAAAATTTGTCGATTTCTGGTCAGCCAAGGTCTGCTGAAATTTTAATTAGCAGAGTATACATTTAAAATATTTTTGGAGAAGAAAAGACCTCTAAAGCTTACCTTTAAAAGTTACTAGATTATCTTAAATTAAAAAACATGATTTGTACTACTAAAAATTGCATTTTATTTTAATCCTTTTATTTTCATCTTCTATTAAATTCCTGGCTTAGAATTTTTATAGTTCCTTTCAACTCTAATAGAGACGTTGGATCTGCGTTGGATATGGTTCAAAATATATAACACATTTTAAAAAAAAAAAAAAAAATCAAGCAAATGATTTTATTCAAAAAATAAATCATATTATTGAGTTGAAATATCTTCTTGAAAATCAGCACCACCAGTGATTTTGAAGCAAAATTAAATAAAATTACGTGACATCCTTGATTACGTTATCTAAGTAGACTGAAAAAAGGACTTAAAATATGACCTTTTGAGTTAAAAAACTTTACATGGACTTTTTCCAAATACATAAACTTCGAGCATTTCACCCTTTTTTTCAAGTAAACACACTGTTTCACCAGTTTAATTTTATAATTAAGAATTGAGAATCATTAGAAAAAATTAATTAAGATAATTGCAGAAACTCCGGAAAAAATAATAAAAAATAAAAATCTATTTTGATCTCTGTATAATTATGTGTTTAGAGTCGAGAAATACGTTCAGACTGTTTGTCCGTCGCACAGACCCACGTATATTTAGAGCTGCGTTTTATTTTTAGGGTCGATTTTCGGCGGCCCCGCCACCGCGTGGTGCAGGGGCATCTCTTTCCGCTAGTCTCGTTTGGTCCACGCGCGCGACAGGCACGCGAGTGGTGACGACGAAAGATGAGCGCAAGAAATAAGGGTGGACGGACACACAGGGCAGCCAAACATCACCGGCAGGCTGCTGGAAACAGGGTGGCGCCAGGGTCGGCCGACCCTGATCCCGTTTACACCTGGACCTGCAGCTGGAACACTCTGCAGTCCAACAGGGAGGGCTTTTTTAAGTGAGAACTATTTTTTATTTAATTTTAAAAAAGTCATTGATTTATTTATTTTACATTTAAATGATATAAAAATTTAATTGGATAAAATATAGAAACTTCTAGAAACTTCGTTCATTTTATTTGGTGTGTTATAAAAATTTTAAACTTTAATTAGATGTGGATTTTTACAATTTTTCCCTATTCAATTAGATTATTTTTGCTTTTTTTGTTGGAAATTAAATTTTCAAAAATTAGAATAGTCTAGAAATTTCTGTACAGCTAAGAATAATTAATAAATTTTGGGAGAATTAAGATCTCTTTGATTCATGTGGTCAAATTTAATTTAATTAAGGAGTTTGATTTTTATGAATATGTTTTCCTTTTTGTTATAAAATTTTCACGCTTTTCTAACTAAAATTAACTGCCAGCGACGCTGACAAATGAACCGAATATTCTAGAGCCATTTTCGAGGGTTTCGAAGACTCGCTGAGCAAATCGCAGTTAGCCGCCTTCGCCAATCTGGACAGCGACGCCCGGCGGGTTGCCTACCTGTTGGGGTTGGAGCAGATCGAGAGTCTGGCGCCGGTGCCCATGTTCCGGCAGAAAAACGGAAAGGAGGCCGTCGACCTGATGGTGCAGGCGGAGCGTTTGCTGGAAAAGGGCAATGCCGGAAGCGCCCTCAATCTCCTGAGCAGAGCCATTACTAAGGCGCCAAGTAATGCGAGTTTCCTACATTTTAGACTAGATTGCAATAAAAAAAGCACAATAAATTTAAAATGTCTAAATTTTTTTTAAACAATTTCTGAAATGAGCTGACAATGAGACAATAAATTTTTCAATGGCAGAGTAATTAAATTTTAGCTTTCTGGGCATAACAAAGAAGTTTGTTCTTTTAATCATGAATTAACTTGAATTTTTAGACGGAAATTTATTTGGCTCAGATATTAATTATACTTTATATTCATGAACCTGTAAGTAGAAAATGAGAGCATTTTAAATTTTTTGTGGTAAACGGTAATTATTTATTTGTTCTCATATATAAGTTGCAGAAATTTTGAAAACAGCGACAAAGATAAAAAATTTTTTTAAACAATTAAGACACAAACACTAAAAATTAGTAATGTGAAAAGGTAAAAAAAGATATGTAAAAAAAAAATATTTATTGCTTCTTATTTTTATTAAGAATCAATTAACAAAAACAGTTAAAGCCTTTCTTAAATTTAATTTGAAATGTTTTCCTTAATTTTTTCAGGTTTCAATCAAGCTTTAATACTATTGTGAGACTCTAAATTATATTGTTTTGGTCGTATCAGGAAATAAATATAAATTCTTGAAAGCTCACAAGATATTCAGCTGTTAAAAAAAAAATGCTATTCTTGAAAAGAATTTCATTGAAAACCAATCTTGTCTTTCCTTCTAAAATATTTGATATTACACACTGAACCTGATTTGTGATTTTTTTTATTCTTTTTCCTCCTCTTGCTAATTTATTGTGCCATTATTTAAATAACCTTGCTGAAACAATTTTGCACAATTGCAAACATAAAGAATATTGGCACGATTTCCAGGTAAGGAAGGGGAAAAGTGCGAGTTGGTGAGCCGCCTGCTGGCCCTGCGTTCGCACGCGCTCTCCGACCTCGGGCAGCTCGAGTTGGCGCTCAGAGACACGCAGTTGGCCCTTTCCGCCGGCGTGTCCGACCCTTTTGCCAGGGCCCAGCTGCTGCGCACCCAAGGCCAATGCTACTTTGCGCTCGCAGACCAGATGAGGTACAAAAATCTCGTAAAATTGGTCATTGTTACAGGAGTTTTATTCGGTCTCGTTAAAATTCCAGGGCCAAATTGGCTTACATCAGCGCCCAGACACTTTTAGACCCAAAGAAATCGCAATTCAGCCAGTTGAGGAGCGAACTCGAAGCTGAAATTGCAAAGTGCGTCGACACCAAACCCAAAAATGCAAAAGTTAAAAATACTGGTGAGTTTTATTTAAAAAAATTAAAAGTCAATATTACAAATTTTTTTTAATCATTTAGAATTTAATAAGTGAAATTGGAATTTTTTCTGATTTGTTCAAATTGGGATCAAAAACTTCGCACTCTTAATAAGAGTTGAAACTGGATAATTTACCTTGTCCCATTTCATTTTAATTATATTCAATATTATTTTATATAATAATTAATTTAATGCCAAATAGAAATATACATATGTATTATAAGCGCGGATCTTTTTATAGAAATATGCAGCAATAATTAATATCCAAAAGTTTTAACTGAATTGATTGAAATCAGGTCAACCATGCTCCGTGAGGTTCAAATTCATTTGGTTATGGCATAAAAATCAGGTGAATGAACCCTGAGCTAGTAGCTTAGGGGAGTGCGAACTTTACGATCACGATTTCGGTTTTGGATTTGGCTATGAAATGAGATTGTCTTTCAGAATTACGTTTTCATCCCGGAAATTGGAAATTATTATTTTGCAATGATTTTAGATACATTAGTGTGTCCAAGTCTGACGGGCGGGGAAAGCCAAATCATTCCAAACGCGTCCCTCTTGCTAGGGTTGCACGAAAGCCCCCAAACCGGACGATATGTAGCGGCGAAGAGCAAAGTTGACGCTGGGGATGTGTTGGCCGTCGAACCCGCTTTCTGTTCTGTTCTTCTCATGGACAAGGCTGGAACGCACTGCCACAATTGCTTGACACGGTCAGATTTCCATAATTTATATTGGAACTTATTTTAATTATAAATATATAAAAAAAAAAAATACTGAGAATATTATATCAAAACTTCTTCCAAAATTGTGATACTATTTTGTTTTTCAGCTAAACAAATATATTTAAGTTTCCATTTTTGCCTTTATTATGTTTTTTTAGGCTGATTTTTAATGTTAGCAGCGGAAAAATAGTTAAAATTTATGCTATCAATCCTTTATGGAAAAAATTCTGCATGTTGAATGCGCTAATTTTTTTTTAAATAATATGTTGGACAAAATTTATTTTTAGCTACATTCTTTTCATTAAAATTGAATTTTTCTAAAAATGTTACATTTTTAGGTTAGTTGCGCCCGTCGGGTGTCCAGATTGCAGCGGAGTTGCTTTTTGCGGCCGTGAGTGCCAGAAAAGCGCATGTGATACATACCATAGGGTCGAGTGCAAGTTCTTGAATCTGTTCATCGGCCTTGGAATGAGTGTCCTCTCTCATCTGGCACTCCGAATAATTACCAGAACTGGTGAGCATGTATTTAAAATCAAACTCTAATTAATCAATTTGTTAAAATAAAAAGTATTTAAAATTGTTTCATTTTTAATTAAAATAACTCTATTTTGTTTCAGTTAAAATTTTTTATTTAATGTTTTAAACTAAATGTCTTATCTTTTAATTAAAAAAAATTTAAGATAATACAATTCAACGACTCAATTTTTTTAATCAATTTATAGGGAAATATTAAAATATTTTTTCAAGGAAACCACATTAAAATAAAACAAAAAAATATATTTTTCTTGCAATTTACATATTGATGTAATATAGTTATGGATTAAATTTAAATTTTTATGTTTACTCACACAAATTTAATTTCAGGCTCTGCAAAAGATTTCATTAAATTATGGGATGCAGCGTCGCGTCCTTGCGAGGGTTCCGAGCCAAAATCCGTGTCTGACTATCGGCGCCTGTTGCGCCTTGTGAGCCACCCAGATCTGAGACAAACGCGCGACTACCTGAGCCGCACCCTGATGGCCGTTTTCCTGCTCAAGTGTCTGCAGCGCAGCGAGCATTTCTGGGCGCCCGACCTGAGCGCCGAGGACCAAGTGAAGGTGGGCGAGGCGCTTTTGCGGCACCTCTGCCTGCTGCAGTTCAACGCGCACGAGGTCTTCGAGACCCTGGCTTGGGACCGAACCAAAATCAAAGGCACAAAGACGCAGTACATCGGAGTCGCCGTCTACCTGAGCGTCGCCCTTTTCAACCACGACTGCAACCCTTCCGTCGAGAGGTGAAAAATATTACCATATTTTCATTAATTCTAAAAATCAGTTTTGCATATTTTAAATTATATTTTATTTTCTTATTAAATTAACGAAAAATAAAATTATTAATATATTAAGACATAGTTGGAAGTTGAAATTTTTAATTATAAAACTACAATAAAAGAAGTGAAAGGCATTAAGCAATGCAATTTTTTTTTTTTATTTAACAATGTGTAATTAAATATAAAATTATAAAAAGGTGAAAACTGTCTCAATAATTAAAGTAACAAAAATATTTTAGATATAAATTTAAAAAAAATACTAATCAATACTAATAATCATAAATTAAAGTGTATAAAAATACCTAAAATTAAAAAAATTATACTGAATTAAAAAGTAAATGTGTATTTAATGTTAATACTCATCATTATATAAAGTTTATTAAAATTCTAGACATAAAATATTTTGAATGATAATTCAGTATTTTTTTTCTTTAGGAGTTTCCAAGGTACAACCATGATCCTTCACGCCCTGCGACCTCTGCACCCAGGAGAGATGGTTGGCGAAAATTATGGTCCAATGTTCACGAAAAAGACCAGGGCTGAAAGACAGGCAAGCCTAAGAGCTCGCTATTGGTTTAATTGCGCCTGTCAGGCGTGCTCAGAAAATTGGAACACCTTCGACCAGGGCATCAAATCACCTGTATGTAAAAACCACATTATTTAACTTATTTGAATTTTAAGTCTTAAATTAAATAGGACAAAACAGAAGCGTTGCAAAAGATGTTCGACATGGGTTTTGAAGCCATGGAGGCAGGAAAGTTGGAAGGTGCCGTTTATTTGCTTAGCCAGTTTCTCAATTCTATTGACGGAATGGTCAATTTGCCAGACAGGTGGGAAATTTGTCAATTTAAATTGAAAAATAATGCAAAAATTTGTTTTGATTTCACAGGGAGGTTATTTTGGCAATCGACGCCCTCCGATTGTGCCTGATGTCTCTTTGGGGAACAGTGGTGGTGGTTCAACCACCAAAGACTGACAACAATAATCTCCAGAAAGAAATTGAGAGTACAGTCAAAATAACGGAACTCCTTGCGTTGGAGGATGGCAAATAAATCACAAGACAAATTATTTGTTAAGATTTTTAAGCGGGAAAATAAAAGATTGAAACATAAAACTTATTTATGGTAAGATCATAAATCATTGATTTATTTTAAACAGTCTTTGATCAACATTCTCTTTTTTGCAAGTGTTTCCTGGAATAATTATCGTCAAAATCAAAGATGTATCCAAACACATTTAACAACGATGTGCTGTACACATTAAACTGCTGGTCACACAACAAAAACCATATTACTTTTAATCATCGATCTATACAGTAATGAGAGGTTAATTAATTTATTATGGAGTCTGCAGTTACAAAAAAAAATCAAAATTATTAAATGTCTTCCACCCTAATTTTTGGTTGGTAAAATATAATATAGAGTTGCAGTTATCTAATTCTGGTTGAGAGGCACAAAGTGGTTTTCTTCAATTGTGTGGGCGTATAATATTGACTGTCCCATTTCACTAACATTTATATTTATATATAAATTTTACACTACTATTTACAAATGGACCCAGAACGTCTGCTGGGTCGGATAACTAAAACATTACCATGGAATTAATACAGGGTTGGTTTTCACAGAAGAGCAAACAAATATTTTAAGTGTAGCACTCTGCTTGAAAATAATTAAAAAAAAAGCCAAGTGAAAAAAAATGCCAAAATCACGAAGGTCCCGAGTCCTTTTCTGCTTGGGCCAGGTCGTTCAGATTCAGGGGTCGGCGTTTGGAGCCCCTAAGCGACTTTTTGTTGCACAATTGCTGCAAAGCTGCGTACGCTTTGATTCTTATGTCGTCGTCTTCGTCTTTGCTCGGAGATCCTTCGCGCTGTGTGAGCTGCGGGTCCTCCTGCACTGGCTCTTGAGGGCTCACTTTGCTGTTGACTAAAATTTTCCTGTTGTTTTAATCAAATTATAATTAAAATCATGCAGTTAGTTTAATGTACAGGGTTTCAAACAGGGACTTCTACTACTTTCTATGAAATTGTCTTGTTAGATATGAAAAAAGGATTCAGATCGAGTAGAACTTGAGTTTGAATTACCTAAGTTCCATTGCTGACTGTCTGGTGGGTCAACTGGGGCTAACAAGACATTTTTTGTAGTTGCGATTGTCAGAGCGGGACATGCACCTTACATTGAATGTTCTTACCTGGGATGTAAATGGTGTACTTTTTGTTGATGGTGATGGGAGGGTTATCTCGCTTCAGGATCAGGTAGTGAAATAGATCTGTGTTGAATGTGTTCATTGCCCATTCCCTGCAACCAAATAATGATTGTTATAAAAACGAATGAAATAATTATGCATAAAATTCCAAATTTAAATGAATATACACTTACGTGTGCTGTGTTTTGAGGTGTCTGCAAAGCGAATGGAAATGCTTGACGGCTCCCAAGCAAATGGGACACTGCATATCCGGGCCTTGTGGTTCTAAAAGTAACAAAAAAATTAATTTCACAAAGCGGGCTAAATTAATATTATTTACCTGGCAAAATAGGGTCAAAGGAACTCGGAGTGAAAGTGTACTCAGGGAACAGAGGCGGCTTTTCAACCTCTTCCGGCTTTGGAGCAAGTTCTTTCAAGGCTGACTTTCTTCTCTTGTTTATCACAGATTCCAGCGACTCTTCGTTGCCACTGAAATATGATTTAACAATTCAGGAAATTTAACAATCGTATGAATTATGAAAGTCATCAAGGAAGAGCAAATTTCTTAATTCCAAACTGTGAACTGTAGCAATTAAAAGCTTACCTTTCTTCCATTGATTGTTCTGAAATGGAGACGGGCTTGATGGCCTGCTTGGCTATAGCGGTCAGGGTGAGAGGGGTATCCAGATTGATGAGCGGGGTGCGCGAAGCCCTGTCATCTGCGTCCTCTTTTGAACTGCCATCACTAAAAACATTATTAATCAAGAAGATTGTAGGCATATTGTTCCACGGCAAATTATTCCATGGCCGATCAACTAACTAAATTCCAAATCATCGAGAGAAATACCATGACATATTACAAAATATGTATTTTCTAGGCCCATGAGGACTGCAAGCAGGTGACCAGTGTAAATCTGGGTCTGAATACTCAGATTAACTCGGCATCCCTCGAAATTGGGTTGCCTTAATTCAAAATTAGCAACATTCGTCTCCTATTCTAACCTATTTCCTGCCATGGAATGAGGTAAGTCATGTAATGCTTTGTAATAGTTATATAATCGGTTATGGAATAGTTTGTCTTGAAACAATTATCTGCACAGCAGAAAGAATCTTTTGTGAAATATTGAAAAAAGTATAAAATCAGGATTGAATTAAAATGAATTATAATTACAATAAATATGACTTCGGTCGGTAGAAACTGAAATAGAGGAAATTAAAAACAAAATCAATTTATTTAAAGTCAAACGCACCTCATTGACTTTTCGACTGGGGGCAGTGGCACTTTTCCGAGCATGCTGGACAACGCCCTGTCGAGCAGCCCACCAAGGGCAGAGGTCATTTTGGCCTTGAGACCGTTGCCGGTAGCGTTGGTGTTGATCTCAACCTTGCTCTTGACGTGTTGCTTTCGTATGTGCGCGTTGAGCGCCACCATGTCTGTGTACAGCTCTTTGCAGACAAAGCACGCAATTTTGCGTTTCTTCTGGGCGCACTCGTCGGCCACGGCGCCGGCCGCCGCTCGGAGGACGCCACTCCTCATGCCTCCAGCGTGGTGCAGCATGTTGGCCGCTGCCAGACCCACTAACAGACAGTCGCGTTCCCTCGCAATTTGGTCACTCGATTTGGCAGCTTAAAATTTAGCAAACGCAACAATTAAAAATTTTATTTGCGACAATTTACAAAAATTATATGAAAATTATTATCAAGAAATGCAAAGTATTCTTCACAATTTTCACAAATCAAAACATAAATACAATAATAATCTCACCATTATTGACATCAGTCTGGATGTTCATCTTTGTGTCCTTGACCTTGTGCGCCCACGAAATGTGAGCTTCGAGTGCCTGCAGACCCAAAAAGTGTTTGCTGCACATGGGGCAGACCATTTCCTTCTGCTCATACATGGAGAGCAGTTTCGACGAGCTGGAAGTCGAACCGAGGTCTTCCGAGATCTCGGCGGCCGTTTCTAGTGGCACACTAGACCTGAAAGAAGCAAAACTTTAATTAAAAAGTTGAAAATTTTGGGAATTTTTATACACCAATGATAGTTATGAAAGAAGAAAACAGTTATTGTCAACTGCAAGCAGACTGACTTGAGAGTGTTATTTGAGGAAGACTTATAAGCTCAGTCGTTTCTTTGCTGAAGTTTTTAATACATGTTGAAAATCAAGCAAAAAAGAGCGTGATTTTTTTAAATGAATGCTGCCCTGACTGGCATGACTTATAGGTCTTCTTCTACTTTTCTCTCTATAATGTAGCTGACTTAGAGATGCGGGAGCTAATTCTAAATCATGCTTGAGTGACCACTGAGTTTTACCTTTCGACCTTCCTTTCAACAGACTCAGTCTTTGGGAAAATAGAATTATGTGTCTAATTAGAAAAGGTGTTTGAAGCGGTGAACTTTTTATTTTGCTTGTGACCATATTTTAAACTGAAGGGACTGCAGTTTTTTTTTTTTTTTTTTTTTTTAATAAAAAGTCAATTTCAATTTAATGAATTATTGTACGAATGAAATGAAAATCATGAATTGGATAATCCTAAGAGGTTAGTGGTGCGCTTTTAAATGCTAATAATTTATGAGTCAATTTTAAAATTCAGCTTGATGGCTAATTAGAGATAAATATTTGAACTTACTTTGCCGCATATTTGATATTTGCCACTACAGGAGGCAGGAAGACTTCCTCTCTGGCCACTTCTTCGGCGGTGCTCTGCTCTTGTTCACTAATCTGGTTATCCAAGTCCATGATTTCTGCGTTCTCCAAAGGCTCAATTGGCCCCGTGGCGTTGGCCAAGTTGACCAGAGTGGCGGAACATCCCGGCTGCTGGGCAGCTGCTTCGTACGAGCTCGAGTTGTCATAAACAAAGGCGACCAAGGAGGTGCCACCGCCGAGGTTTTCCAGCATCGCCATCTCCTCGTCAGTGGCACCCATTGCCTGCTGGATTTGCTCCAAGGACTGCTGGCCCTCGTAGTTACCCATGAGGTAGGGGTTGGGTGGCACAGAGACCACTGGCATCAGGGGTGCCACTTCGGGTGGGGGCGGGTAGTCCGAGTGCTGAATCAGTTGGTTGACAATGCCTCCATAAACGTCATCATAGTTTTTGTCCTCATCGGCGATTTCTTGAGGTGGAGGAACGGGGTCCTCAGTGGAAGGGGCCATTGGCAGGGGGGCTGGTTTTGCCGTCCAGTTGGGAACAGAGTCTCGGACAGCGTCGAAATCCCACTTTGGAGGTGGCTGAAGGGGTGTAGGCTGGAACCATTCTTCCTCATCGTCGGACTTTTCCTGCGCGACGACCTCTTTTGACTTCACTTTAGCCTCTTTTCTCTCTTTCACTTCTTCGAAGGATTTAGTCACTTCTTCAGCAATCTCTGGAATTTTCTCTTCCTCCATTGGAGAAAATGGCGAATTTGGAGGTGGAGGAGGTGGAAACGGAGGAGTTCCTTCTTTGATGAAGGGGAAAACGATTTCATCCAAATCTTCCTCCTCTTCTTCCTTTTCAAGCTCTGCGTCAGGGACAATTCCATCCTCCTCGTTGTCTTTGGTGACAGGGTCTTCTACGTCTAATTCTTCCATGCCTTCGCCCATGACATTATTCAAGTGCTTCATTGACTTCAGGTGTTTGTGGAAGTTGAAAGCTGTGGAGTAACTTGTTTTGCAGGCGGCACAGAAGGTAATCATAGGACCAGTTTTGTTTTCGTCGCTCTTCCGGCCTCGTTTCTTCTTTGCTGGCGGTTCCTCTGGCACTTCTTCTTCCTCCTCAACAGGCCGTTTTGAGGAACTTGCCACTTCGACAACCTCTTCAACTTTTGTTTTTTTCTTCTGAGGAGACTCCTTGCTCTCACTTTTTTTCTTACTCTTCTTCAGCTTCTCTGACTCAGAAGGAATTTGTGCTGTCTCAGCACCCTCGGTTTTCTTTAATTTGATTATTTGCGAAAGTGGCAAGTCATCCTCTGTATCTGCAAAGGCGATATTCTTTTTGGCCTTGCCCTCTTTCTTCTTTTTACTCTTTCCAGGTTTCTTATCGGGTAACTCTTCTTCCTTGGGAACTGACTGAGGAGCTTCAGGTTCAATCTCACTCTTTTTCTTTTTCAAACTTTTCTTCCTTTCCACCTTGACCTCAAGAATTTCTGTTTCCTTAGTAGACTTTTTCGTCTTTTTGCCGCCATCCTCTACGACTTTCTCTTCGATCGCCTTTTCGGGAACTGGGACAGAACTTTCAGAGTCAGTCTCCACCAAAGCAGACGATTTGAATATCTTTTTTGATTTCTTTCCAAACTTCTTCCTCTTGCCACTCTCTCCGGATTGGTTCTCCACCATGTCAATCAAATGACCAACAGTCTCAACAGCCTCTTTATTGGTTTCTTGAGAAGAATTGGTCTCTGGTTCAACTTTGACGTCTTCTAGAATCTTTCCTCTTTTCCCAGCTTTCGTGACAGGTTTACTTTTTTCCTTTGGTTGAGCTTTCTTCAGTTTACTGTCAGTTGATTTGAATATTGACATTGAGAGAGCTAAATTTTCCAGTTCCCTGTTCCTTTTCTTTGGCTTTTCTGAATCAGATCCACTCTCCGCCCCTCTGATGGCATCCATCTTCTTCAAAGTACCCAGTCTCTGAAGAGAAACAGGCAGCTTTGCCTTTTGAATGAGCTTTTTGGTTGCATCTTTGCGAGGATTCAAGAGCTTCCCCACCTTTTTAGACTTCCTGATGTCAGGGTCGCTTCCTTGTGCTTCACTATCTGCGTTAGATTTCTTCGACGCTTCTGACATTTCAGATGCTCGCCTGCGGAACACCTTTTTTCTGTTGCTAATTTCAGAGGCACTTTCGCAGCAGTTGGAAGCATGGCGTTCAAGCAATTTGCTTGAAGAGAATATCTCATTGCACAGAGGACAAGCATTGACCAGATTTTCCTCCTTCACCTCTTTTGTTGCAGCTTTCTTTGGCACTTCAGCGCTGGTTTGCTTCTGGGAGGCATTGTTTGGTTCCTTAGGGCAGATTTTCAAATGTCGAATCAGTGAGAAGTGATTGAGGAGACCCTTGTCACAATATGGACAGGCTGTTGCTGCGTACTTGTTGTGTTTTGGTCCATACTCAACAAGTTTCTCCTCAGAAGGTGTCTCTGCAGGTTCGATAGCTGGCTCAGGCTTTTCTTCTGCAGGTGCGGTTTCGGCAACTTTCTTGAAGACTTTCTTCTTCTTCAGCTTGACTATGATAGGAGTTTGACTTTCAGTTGGATTCTCAGCCTTTTTCTGTTCTTCTTCAGGCAGTGGTTTGGCAGTCTGTTTGCTGGATTTATCAGAAATTTTGCTTGATTTTTCGGAACTTTTGCTGGAGTCGGAAGACGATCTACGCTCTGCAACGGCCTGCGTTCTTCCTTTTGGCAGTGACGGCTTTGTGTTGAGCTTTGCTTTGGAAGAATTCTGATTGGCAGCTGCTGGTCGGAGCTGGAAATAGAAAAATGCGTAATTTTGGTTTGCCACTACCTAAATCTACATAAATAAAATTGACCAAAGAACAAAAATAAATTAAAGCACAACAACAACAGCCATTGTACCTTCATTAATCTTTTCCTTAACATACGTGTCTGCATGAAAATGGGCCAGGAAGATTATTTCAAAATTACTTAAAGTGAAGGAAAACTTACACTATGAATAGTTGCTTGGCTTCGAGTTTTGATTTCATCGTCATTGAAGTTGATGACACGCCTACTGCCCCTTTTTGAGGGCAAGTTGGCTATCATTTTTTGGATAGTATCACCTGCAAATAAAATCAATAAATCACGTGAATATAAAGCATAATATAATTATCTACCATCTTGTTTTTTAGCCCGGTTAATTTTCATCGGACTGGAGGGAATTCTCTTCATTCCTCTGCGGGCTCTCCTCCTGGTACCAAACGGCCGCCACTGCTTTCTTTTCCTTGGACTGTTCAGCATCCAAGTTGTGTCTCCACCACATTCAAGCATGTGCTTGTGCAAATCAGGCAGAGTCGAGTTATTTTTTCCGCACTTTGTGCAGTTGCTCTCGGCAGGATTGGTCAGTGGAAGGACTGGGGCCTCACTGACTAAGCCGTTAGGCTCGATCGAGCGTTGAAACAAGTCGTCTGGCAGAGTGGTGGCAGCGTCCACATCCATGTAAGTGCACCAAATGTTGGTGTGTACCTCATTCACGTGGTCATCTAAGTCCCAGAGTTCCGAAAAATGACCTCTGCATATGTGGCAAATGTATCTAATATGGAAAAAATAGGAAGGATTAATATAAAATTTTATTTAATTTGATGTTCTTACCTTTTCGGTCTGATCCAGTCACCACTGAAACCTTCCTCAATAAGCTCCTCGACCACATATTCAGCCTCCAGCAGCTTTTTACTCCTCCTGGAGGTTCTCTCGGGAGGCATCTGATATTTGGCCAGTCCAAGGTCCAGCCCATGCAAGAAACTTGCCAAGTCCTCAGAAGTGTGCGGGTTGTTGCGTGTTGGTCTAGATGAAGACTTTCGAGACATCTTCTTTCCGCCGATGGCCTTCTTACTCTTCTTGGCAGAGAGCCTCTTCTGAATCACAAACTGGGTGCTCAGACACAAATGAGCAAGGTCCTCCTGCTTCGGCGATTTTGCCCGGTTTTTGCTAAGATACTTTTTAGGGTGGTTCAGACGAACAGGAGTCTCTTCAGGCTCTTCAGGTTCAGGAATAATTGGTTCAGGTTCTGCCGGGACAACAGGAGACGCCACTTTTATAACAGGCACCTGCTTCACAGTTTCTTTCTTTTCTTGCAACTCAACAGGTGCTTTCTCTTTTTCTTCAACAGCTTCATCCGCTGGCTTTTCGGTTTCTTTCGTACGCTCTTTTTGGATCAGCTTCAAGACAGTCTTGGGTTTTACTTTCGGTGACGATTTCTTCTTGCTCTTTTGCGACTTTTTGCCCAAATTGAGCTTCACTTTAATTTTGATGTTGGGTCTCTTCTTTTCAACTGCCGTGGCAGTTTCTGCGACAGCAGCGGGTACTGGTTTCGGAAGCTCGACTGGAACTGGCTTAGGTGGTTCATTGACTTTCTCTATTATCAGCACTGGCTGCTCTTCCACTCTGGCAGCTTGGTCTTCCTCGGGGGGCAACGCTGATATTGTGACTTCAGAAGTCAAGGCCACCGTCTGTTTTCCAACAGACAAATTTGGCAGGGAAAATTCACCTTGAACTTCCTGCTCCTCCTTGCTCTCTAAATATAATACAACAGGACTCTTCTTGGTGGCAGATGGTGTTTCTTTTTCTTTTGGTGTCTGAAATAAAAGAATGATAAGAATTTATAAATATCCATTTCCATGTTTTAATACCTTTGCAGGTGAGGCAGTTTTGGTGTGTTTCCCAACAGTGCCATGAGCCACTCGTCGGTGCTTGCACATGCTGACGTAGCTTGGGAAGCTTTCGTTGCACATGCTGCAAGAATATTTGATTGACTCCTCAGAGGTTTGCTGCTTGGGTGGAAGAGGTGGTGGCAACGGCTCTTCGATGATTGGAGTGATGCTTATTATGGGCGGTTCGTGGACTGGGCCTGGGTGGGCCATGCGAGTGTGCACATCCAGCTGGGCAGTGTCCATAAAGCGCTCAGTGCATTTCGAGCATCCAAAATATTCCCTAAAAGATAAAACGAATCAATTAAAATTGTTGAAAGTCTTAACATGACAGGTTTTTTCTTCTTTTTTTTGACCAAATATATATTTTTCATATCAACTCACTTGTTGTGCGCAACTTGCAGATGGGATCTTAGTTCAGGTAAGGTCCTGAAAGTCTTGCCGCAGAGAAACATGCAAGGGTGCTGATTGTCATTGTTGGTGTGCTGCACATGATGACGCTCTCGGGCAGTGGGGGAGGAGAATACTCTGTAGCAGTAGAAGCAGGGAAAATCTTGTGCCTAAAAGGGACATCCACAGGTAAGTTTGAAAATATTTTATATAGAGTTAAATTACCTGGTGAAGGGCTTGGTGCTTGAGCAAGTTGATTCTATTGGTAAAGGTAGTGGAGCAGTGTTCGCAGGAGAAAACTTGGGAAGGAGGGCCCAGGGGCAGCACTGGACTGCCCGAAGAGGCAATCGAGTCGTCAGGGTGCAAGGTCAGGTGATTCATCAACTCCTCCCTGTGACGGAAGAACAGGGCCGGGCAGAAGTGGCACCGGTAGAGATCAGTTACGTTGGGAGGAGTATCGGGGCCAATGATGATTCCGCAGTTGGCAGCGTCGCGGTCAGAGAGCAGCCGAGTGTTGATGTGGGATCGAAGATAATGCCTCTTGAGGCTGAACTGCCGCTGGTAGGAGCCGCTGCAGATGTCACAGTTGTAAAGCTGGAAACAAACGAAAGATTTTTTTGGTTGAAAAAATTTAATTTTATTGTTACTCATTTTAAGTAAGAATCTAAAATAAATTTGGGGAATTCTACTAACCTTTGTTCCATTAGGGGCAATGCCGAGGTGGCGGTCCTCAATGTGGAACACAAAAGGTGTAATTCTTTGTGGCGGGGGTGCACTCTGCGCCGCCTTTTTGCTTTTCCTTGCCTCCAAGTGAGGCATGGGCATTGGAGGCAGCAGCATGGGCGGCACTCCCACCTGAAGCAGGTCTGCAGGGTTGACGTAGGGGTGGAAGACGCTCTGCAGCGCTTTCTTGGACAGCCTTTTGATGGGCTTGACTTTCTTCTCTGATCGAGGAATGCGCCTGACGCTGAGGTCAAGCACTTGGTCAGCGGCAGAGGACGAAGGTAGCTGAGGCAGTTGAGGCATCACGGAGGAAATGGGCGCCACTTTTTGCACCTAAAACACAATTTTTTTTTATCCCAAATTAGAAATTTTACAGTCCATCCACTCATTTTTTTAATAATCCAATATAATTATTAGTTGTGGCCTTTTATTGAAATAATTATATTAATTATTTTAAAAATGATAAATAAGAGAAGTAAACTTCTTTTTAAGTTCTTTACCTTTTTCTTTGCCACGCTGAGGTCAACAGGTATTTGTGCAGGAAAGTTGAAGGCAAGTGCAGGTGGTGGAGCTAACAATGGTGGGGGAGGGAAGAACGAGGTAGGAAAAGGCAGGACAGGCGCCACGATTGGCTCCTGCTTTTTCTTTCGCGGCTTCCTCTTAGCCTTTTCGACTACTGGTGGGACACAAGGCACTATTTGCGGCAGCTTGACAGCTTCCTTTTTCTTGGCAGGCTCACTCGGAGCAACAACTTTTGGTTCTTTCACGGAAGGAGTCTTTGGAATGTCTTCCACCTTTTCTGTATCAACAGGGTCTATCTTTGGCAGCTCCTTTCCATCCTCCTTGACTTCATCAACCTTTTCTTTCTCATTGTTTTCAGGTGGTTTGGCAGTTTCTGTTTCTTTCTCAGCCGGTTTGCTCTTTGATTTTGGCGACTTCTCAACTTTGCTGACGACTTCGTCGACTGAGTCGAGCACGTCACACAAACTGGACACGCAGGTTGACACTTCGCTCTCCACATTTTCGTCCACCCTTACTTTGGGAGTCTCAGGACTTTTCTCTGAAACCTCCTCCAAACATTTTGTTTCCACTTGAGGTTCTTTTTGCACAACTTCTTCAGCAGCCTCATCTTCATTTTCACTGTCTCTGTTCAAAACTATGTGGCTCACAATATCAAGCTGCTGATCTTTTTCGTTGGTTTCCTCCTCACTCTGGGTCACAATTTCCTCCTTGATTGGCAGCTCACTCGGCAAACTGTAATGGCCGTTCACTGCTTCACTCTCAAGATCGACTGTCTCAGTGTTGTTCACGTTGTTCTCCATGTGGTCCAGCAGGTTGATCACAACGCTGGAAACCACCTCAGTCTGCATCTCTTCGATGGGCTCCATCTCCTCTTCTTGTTTTATATACATCGATATGAAGCGCAACTCTTCATCCGTTTCATTGCCGTCGGATGCGGTTTGTGCTCCGTCGTCTTTCTCAGTGCCATTTTTCATTTCTGAAACACACATAATAATAATTTAGCTATTTCACCCAAAAGTGTTTAAATTCAACTCAGTCTGAAAAATTCTAACAAATTTTTTTTTTATTAAGTAAAAAACATGGCAATCATGGCATAATTAATGCGTGTTGCGTTTATGCTAAGCCATTATCATTTCTAGTATTAAATTACGCCCATATTCAAAAATTAAATCGAGCTTTTTAATTAAACACCAACATAATAATAGTTTCTCCGGAAATATCCAAAATTCAAATCAAGAGAGTGCATGAATGCAAAATAAATTTATTTTTAATAGAAATGTAAAGATTTTACGAAGATGAAGAAATTGTGCAATTGAAATTTTAAATTTAAATTGTTGTATCTTTTAAACAAATTACAAATAACCAATAATAATTAATGATAAAAGCAACAACACAGTATTTAAAAAACAGTTTTGATTGGAAAAATATCTAGAATATATTAAATTGGAAAAGCAGCCGTTAGTTACAAAAAAGGATTAGTTTCCTCCTTTGCTTTTTTTCTTCTCTTTGTTCAGCACGGCATGGGAACATAGAGCGGAGCGGAATGCCGCGCGGATTGCATACCCAGCAAGGCGCTTTACGCTCTGCTGATTGCGAGTCGAATCGCCGAACCGCAATTAGTGGAACACCAAGCGCGGAGACCGAAATTCAAACTTTCGGTATTTATTTCTGTATCAAGTTCGGAACGAATTTTCCAAGCGCAGATTTTCCACGGCAAGAGAGCCTCGCGCTTTCAAGGACGCCCGACTTCCCCCTCCTGATTTTCGCTCGAGCGCCCGGCGCTGGCAGAATTCGGTCGGCGGCGTTTGCCGACGGCCGAATTTCGTCGGCTGGAGGAGCAATGGAGCGAAAAGAGGCCGACAGGTGCGGCAGAGGTTCAACAAATGGCCCAGATCGAACCAGTTTATCGGCGTTATGCAACCAGAGGAGCACGTCTGTTCTGCGGATAGCCTACCCTCGAAAATCCATAGGAGCTCGCGCGGCCACGGTTCCGTCCAATTGCAGCACCAAAACCTCAAATACTACCAATTCGGCAAATTCACCCTGTCTGGAACGTCTCCGAACTCGAATTTTCCAAAATAAGAGGAAAATTGCAAAAAATTGCAAAAAAATTGAGAAAAAAGGAAAACGGATGAAAAGTAATAGGTTGGCTGCAAGAGTGGCCAGAATGTGAATTTGGGCAAATTTTTTTGCAAATATGCCGACGGATATTGTGCGTCCACGGGCTGCGATAAAAAAATAACACACAGTTGGCTGAGTGAGTGCCGCCTGTGTCGGCTGGCGTTCCCCTACATTTTCTCTCTCCATATCATGTGTTTCCACTCCCTCTCTCTCTCTCTCCTATAATATAGTCGTCGCCAGCTCTCTTCTCTCCGCGCTCTGCTCGCTCGCTCGCCCGCTTTGCTCAACGCTCCTGCATTATATGAATGCACGGCCGCTCATTTCCAACAAACAAGAGCACCTTTGCTAGCAGAGGGAGGCGCCGCCGAGCCCGAAATCGCGCAAATCGCTGATGAAAAATAAAGCATAGGAAGCACCGTCCACTAATCAAGGGGCTTTGTCATCAGTTTTAGAGACAAGAGCGCAATTCAAACTCCCTGACTAGCCTAAAATGTTTGGAGCTTGTTTCATGAATTCAAAAATTTTCAATTTTATATTTTGAAAAGGTATCAAAATTTATAAATTGATCTTTGCACTACGATTTATTATATTAAGTAATAATTTATTATACAAACTGATGGAGATAAAAAATATTTGCGGAGACATACACAAAATGGCTCGGAAATTTTGTCAGTTAAAAGCTCCATCGTTTTAAAAAAAATTTGATTATTTTTTAATCCTTGTGCAACAAACCATCTTATCTCAATTACTATTTGCTAATTACCTAATGCTCAATATTTTTTAAGTTCATCAAATTTGTAACTGATTTTTATTGTGATTTATTTTTTTATTTTTTGCAAACATGAACTTTTCTTATAATATTATATTTAGGTTTGCCAAATCAAATTCTTCGGAGTAAAAATTTTCCAATTCCATAAAGAATGAATTACTCCATTATTATTTAAATCTTAATATAATAGCAGAGATAATTTCTAAAATAACAAGAATTAAATGGAGAGCATTATTGTCAACGCAAAATTCACCCTCAAGCGTTTTTGCGCAAAGTCAGCAGAGCTGTTCTCGTCGCAATCAGAGAGGGGTATTGATTGGCGATTTAAACCCTTAGAAATTTCTTCCGTTCTTTTCTGCCTCCTCCGCATGCAAACTTGCTTATTATTGTTGGTCTAGGCTTTGCTCACCTCCTTCCATTTTGTCTGGCTCCTGTTTGATTTCGAGCTGCTTCTCCGGGGCGGCCGGCTCCTTTTCCAGGGTTTTCAGGAGGTGCTCCACCGCCCCGCGGGCTGCCTCCTCCTCTGCGTCCAGTCTCATCGCCTCCGTTGGCATCTGCGAAAATATTAATTGACGACCGGATTCAGTTTTAGATCTGTGGGCGCGTGCAAAGGAGGTCCACGGGGAGTAGATTTATTTGCACTGCGGAACAAAGGGATGGAAAATGAAATTTGAAAGCAAAAACTCACCATCTGCCCTCAAGACTTTGAAATCTGCTCTTCCTCTTTTTCCACAGTTGAAATCCCATACTGCGGAGGAACTGAAACAAAAATTCACAATAATTAAAATCAAAGGTTCTTTCATTTTTACTGAAGTTCTTATCATTTATGTTTCAACGCAATTTTTCGATATTTGTGCGCTGATTTTTTTAATACCCAAAAACATGGAACTTTCCCTCTATTTCTGGCCATTTTAATGACCCAAAAATATTTGTGATTCTTTTTATAGGTTTCAAACGGATAAATTGCTTTTTAAAATTTTTCTTTGCATAAATTTTTACGCTGAACTACTTTGCAGTCGTAGATCAAAGATCGAGGCTATATTTATTGTTTTTATTTAAAGAATAACAAGAATTAAACGCATAGGAACAAAACTATGATTTTTTACCAAACTTTTCCAACTCTTTTTTCCCTTCATTAATTGTTAATTACTTCCTTATTCATTTTGAAAATTCATTCTATAAGGAAATTCTAATTAGCTAGTTGATCAAAATTTAATAGATATGAAAACAACACCTCCGAAAAATTATGTTTTTCTTTTATCACAACTAATTTGTTTTCATTGGAAGGAAAATTTTGTTTTTGTTTCTCTATTTTAAACTCTAAAATTTTCTCCTTATTAAGTGTTAAACAACTACTAATTTTGCTCCAAATTATTGGCCGAATCTGCGAGGTGGATCATAATGTGCAGCGCAAATTTTGCAGAGCGACGGTTAATAAAGCTTGCGCTGCTCATCGGCCTTTATATTTCTCCGTCGGTCGGTCGGCGGCGAGGCGCGTGGTGCTCAAATGGCGGCCGTGCTGTTGTTGCCTAAGTAGAGAGTACTTTGACCTTCTTTTCGTTTCTTTCACACCGCTGTGATAACCCAGCAGCGAGCGCTCTTTCTTTCTTTCTTTCTTTGCGACGAGAGAACGACGACGCAAAACCAAGAGAGAGACAGACAGATGCACCTGCACTGTCCCGATTTTGGGGCTCGTTAAAGTTCTGCACGTGGCAATGCAAATAACGCGCAGTTGGGTGCCGATTGTTTGAAGGGCAACCGCAACGGAAGGAGGTGGATGGTTGAAATTAGTCGACTGCTATAATTTTCAACTCACGGTTTAGGTAAAACATCAAAATTTACCTCCAAAGTATGGAGCTTTAAAGGAATGAAAAATAACTTAATTTTTTGTTTGAAAAGTTATAAATTAAAAAAAAAATTGAAAGACTTCCATAAATATTGTGATTAAAATTAAGGCTTTTGAAGGATAATCTACAAATTCACGAAATAGAAACAGTGAAAACATCCAACATTTTTCCTTGATTTCTTTCAGAACAAATTGTTTTTCAATAATTGAATGTAAAGAATATGATTGAAAATATTGGGAAAAAATAAACAACAATAAAGATTTAAAAAGAAATGTCTATTTCCACCATCATAATACAAGTATTTTGTTTATAGATTTGAATTGAAGTCAAATATTTGATTTAAAAACAACAAAATTATCGTCTTTTGTTACCAAATTTCGAATTTTGTTTGCTTCAATATTTTGCTCTCGCTCCCTCTAGTTGTAGGACACACGCGTAAAACGCCCCCTTCCTGTTCTGCCGGCGCTGAACTTGTTTTTATTATTATTATTATTATTTTTTCAATAAAACTCTTTTCAGCCGAGCCCACCTTGCGGAATCCCAATCAATTCGCCACAAATCGTCTTGTCAGAAGCGACGATTTCGCAATCGGCCTGGGAAATGTAATTTCGGATGGGCCGAGCGGCGGATGAATTGGCTCGCGCTGGAGATAAAACTGGCTGCTTATCATCGCTTGGCATTGACTATTTCTGCCTGCACGGCACAAACACACACACCACCAAGGAGACGCAGCGACATTCTGGCTCGGCAAACTCGCACGCACTCGAAATGGGCGGCTGGCATTCGAGTGCGGAAAACTTTAAATCCTTGGGAAAATTTTGGGGATTTAAATTTTGCACAAGCTCAAAATCAAACTTCTCTTATTATGATGGACATGATTTGTAATTAAAATTAAATAGGAAATCAAAATAATACAATATGATAAATAATAATACATAATTCATTTCAAAATAAAATCACTTCAGCTGATTTTGATAATTTAAAACAAATTTTCTTCTATTTCACAATGCAGTTTTGCGCATCACTTGAGTTCCTAACCGATTTCGTCAGATCCCCGCAGTGTGAAAAAAACGACCCTCGCCCTTTTCTAAACAAGGACACGGCAGCTATTGTGTTTGGAGAAAGAGATGCATCTCCTCCGCTTATGCCATTAGCCAGGTACCTTTTATTTTCTATTTTTTATGTGCGTAATCCTTCTTCTCCCTCTCGCACCCCGCTCGCAACACCCGACCCGAGCAAACCATCTTCCCTAGCTCGACTTTTATTACAAGGAACTACGGAGAAAATTCTACTGTCGTGTAAAATCAAAAAGCAATTTCGCTCCACTGATAAACTATCGGAATAGGAAAGCGAAGGGAAATAAATTGGATTTTTTTTTTGCTTTTAACTTTATCTCGGAGGAACGAGAATAAAAAACTTTAAAATTTGATCCATACATTTCATATCCTGATTTAAAAATATACAAAGCTTTTTATGTAAATTATCAAAGAGAGGAGAATATTTATTAACGCTTGGATGGTAAATATAAACGGAGTCGATTTTCAGCTCCCAGTTTTGAAATGGTGTCTAATGCAAGTAGTCAGTCGATGCTCTCTAATGACAGTTGGCGGCGATTAAAATGAATCACGATTAGTTAATTATCATTTAGCGCGATTACTCGGTGGCTTCGAATGTCCTGCAGTGAAATGGCTTTGAGTCATAAATGGATCGTAACGCCTGGCGCGACAAAACGGAGCGGAATTAAATTTGAATTCTGCTATTTTGATGTTAAATTTCAAATCAATACTGTTTCTAGCCACATACCAACAGGATTCCATTTACACGTTTTAAATTTTTTACTTGCAGCACAGCGAGTTTCGTCAGTCGGTTCTTGCTCAGTTTTTTCTCTCTCAAAATTATTATGATTACATGTAATACAAACGGGAGAAACATCAAGCGCAAATCATTAACGGCCTAACTCACCTGAACATCTCTAGTTCCGAGTTTTCAGTAAATTCTTTAGATATAAAATGAGATACTAGAGCAGAGGAAATTGGAGCTTTTCTCCTCGGCGTAAAAAGAAAAGAGCAGAAAATCTTATCATATCTTTTCCTTGATTTTTTACCTAATAATTTGCAAAATATTCACGGGTTTAGATACGATTGGGAGAAAATGGAGCATTTTATAAAATCATCTAAATAAAATTTCCGAGTTTTCTGAAACTTGATCCAGCTTAGGCTGGTGCCACCGAGAAATCAGCCATCTCGCGTAATTATCTCTAAGCGACTCGGTTCGAATTTATAAACAACTCCTGGCTGCCAGTGGCCGCAGCGAGAAAAGAAAGAGACACGCACGTGACAGGCCCACGTCACACCGGAGAAAACGTCCTCCTGTCCCAAGCAAGTCTCTACTCCCAATACAAAAGTCAAAAGGCGATGAAAAATATAGTAAATTTTACGCACTGTCCATGCGGCCAGGGCTTGCACTGCTGTACGATACAATGAGAGCGGTGATGAGCAACAAACAGCATAATATAAATTCAGAGTCGGTCGGGCGATTCCATTCGACACTGGGCCGGGGGGAGACGCGGAGGAGAGGGAGAGAGATAGACCTTCCCCGAGCAGAACCACCGCTCTCTGCACGCGAGAGAGAGAGAAAAAGAGCCGGCCGGCTTGGGGAGAGAATTTTGCTTCGCGAGAGCAGCAGCAAAACTATCCCAATGCAGCCGCCTGAGCGACCGACGAATGCAACAGGGTGCTGCACCACCGCCGCTCGCGCAATTTGCACAAAAATTTCGAAAAAGCTTTGGAATGCGACAGTGAGAGGTTTTTCTATGAAAACGAATCATGCAGCATGAAAAAGGAATAGGTTGCAATTCATATAACAATAGGAAAGGAATGTTTGCAAAACAATACGAATGTTTTATATCTGTCATACAATAAAAATAAACTTTACGAAAGGAGCTAATTTACTAAATGGGTTTCAAATAGGCGGAAATCAATATCTCTTTGATAGACTCGTGCAAATATTCATTGGAACGGATATTACCTTTTCAATAAACATTTTTTTTTTTTAAATCATAGATAAGTATTCAAAATGTGATATTTTGCACAAATTTACTTTTCTTGCTGCTGTAAACTGCATTTTAGAGGTGTTAAACTTGCTCAAAATTTTTGCTCTTTGGAAGAAAATCAGTAATTTTTCATCGGTATTCTTTGGAAATATTGGTTTTTATTTTAACTCGAGCAATTTCACGCAAGAGCGAATTCGCGACCAAAAGATATGATGCTTCCGATAATTTGTGAAGCATCAATGTCAAGGTCCAATGAGGAAATTTAATTGCGCTTGCCAAAACACTTTGCGAAGTGGAACGTAAAACAAGCCAACCGTTTGAAGGGATGTTGTATTTGCAGCCAGTGTAAATTCACCAAACTGTCCACGACGGAAACATAATCAAATTGCAAATTAGATTCAAATTTAATGAGGATGTTTAAAACAGGAGTTAAATCTGGAAAATATTGATGGAGTGTGTTTATAGTTTGCAAAGTTGTTTGTTCGGAGGAAATTTTTACAATTTTTCTTTTTACAAAAACACGATGGAATTGAGTAAAAAAATTGTCGAATCCTGAATTAAAATATTCTAGACTCTATTAATACGGAATCTGAAACCATTGATACATGAGAGAGAAGATTAATAAACTAATTTCCTTCAATATGCTACTTTACTCTCATTTGCCTAAAAAAAACTTGAAATGCAATGAATCCAATAATTAGAATTGATCAAAGTTAGTTTTGAGAGGAATTGTTTGATGAGTTTCAACATGTTCGAACGAAAGTGAAGCGTTGGCAGACATTTATTAAAATTCTCCCTGGCGATGCGAATTTCGCGCTTAATGTGCTGAGTTGTCACCCGAGTAAGGAGTAAATTATTGCGTGTATTATTTTTGCGCACAAGAGCCGTCCGTCGTCGCAGGCGTGTTTTACCAGCGGCGAGTAAGCGAGCAGTTTTTCATGCGATACCGTTAGAGCTGCTCGATACTTTCATAAGCGCCGCAGTCGACGCTGCGCTCCCTTTTCGCCTTAGCAGCCAAACTCCGACTGTTTGCAAATAAAAACTTGGAGAAAGAAAAATTTTATTGAGATAATTCCCAAAATGCAGCCATGATAATTTCAAAAAAGAAAAAATGACGATGCGGTCGATGTGCAAACACTGAGTTTGAGGCAGTTATTTAAAAAATTGTTACAAAAGTTCAGCAATTCTAAAATAAGTCCAATCAAATTATAAATAGCAGGAATTTGAAGTGTGTGACTGACACTGATTTATAAGGCAAATTAAAGCAAACAGAGATTTCAACGGTTACTGGAGATGTAAAACTTTTTGCATACTTCAGTTCCAAATTAGGAGATTTAACTTTTCATGAGAACAAACTGAAAGTGTTAAAATTTCAACAATCTCAGCTAGTTTTGAATGCAAATCAACAATATCTGTTCAATTGAACAAAACTTCCATCCTTTAGATTTTGCTCTCACAGGCCATTTTTTTCCATTAAAAAATTGCTGAATATGATAACAAATATGTTTCATGGTTTCTTGCGTGGAACGAGCGACGCAGGCAAGTTTCTTTCCGCGAGATAAAAGCATCGCTGGCACGCTTCGGGAGGGGCTGCTGCTTGGCTGGCTGGTTTGCTAAACGCAGAGGAGAGGCCATGCTAGGCCGACGTGGGCAGGTAGGTGCGGAACAAGCGCCTGCCGCTTAGGCAAATGTGTGCTACAAAGGCATCCGACGGCGGTGCATAAGCGCCAGGCTGGTCGAATTCCCGATTTTCTCCAGGATTCGGCGCCGGTTTGCGCCTCGGCCGGAAGTGATGACATTTCTGGCGGCGGAACCGCTTTTGACGCCGCTGCGCCGACCGGAAACGCGTGTGTAATTTGCTTTTCCGCGACGGTCGTGGTGCAAACTGCCATTTTAAGTTAAAATAAAAAGAAAAAATATATTCAAAAAATCAGAAGAATTAATTTGATAGTAGGAAGTCTGTCACTTCTTTTTTCTTTATTTCTTGTAAAAAAGTTATTAAACTTCAGCTGCACAAAATTTTAAATCATGCAATTTTTCAAATTTTTGATTAATATGCAGATCTGACAATCCTGTATAATGCGTAGACTGAAAAAAAAACAATTACAACAAGATAATTGTACATACTTTTATGATATTTCCACAGATTCTGGTTGCTTTTGCCATTACTGCTTTTTGTTAAAGCGAGTTGATTTGGATGTATAATAAATGCAAAAAAATAATTTTTTTAATTTAATTTTAATATTCAGATTAGGAATGAAGCTTCAGTTTTGAAACTATAGCTTCGAACGATATTAAGGTAAGAAAAAAAGAAATTTTACATAAAATAAGGTAAGAATTAGAGGAGCTTTTTAGTTTCAAACTGTGTGCTCCACGCAATATTTCATATCTTTTGGAAGTTAAAATTTCATACATATTTTTAAGCAGGAATCAAGTGGAGAAAGAATAAAATCGCACTTTTAAGAAACGGTGCGAATTATTAAAAAAAATTATGCACATTTTAACAAAGTTTCCAAACATGATCAGAAGAAAATTTTATTATTTTTCAGCTGTAACTGCAGATAGGCAGCAGTGATTGAGGAAAGGATTGATTTCTTTTATGATAAGAGAATCACATTAAAATAAATGAGAAAAGTGCCCAGTTTCGGGCAACCCTTATTTAGTTTTTCTGCTGAAATTTGCTCCACGTCGATTAAAACTCTTTAGAGCGAGGATCGAGTTTCCTCCGCTTGGGTTTTCTGTTATCACGGCGACGTGGCCATTGATTACGGTTCGTTCGGTCGCGGCACTACTGTTTTATCATCGCGGCGAACGCCTCGAGCCTCCACCACCACCACCATCTTGTTTTTGATATTCTCTCTTTTAAAACTGGCTGCTGCTCGGTCGTCGTGTCTCCTCTCTCGCGGCGCGAGTGTTGAAACACGGGCAAGGCCAACGCCGAGAGTCGCACAAGTGTGTAACTCACTCCTCGTCGCGATCTGTTAATTAATTGCGACGAAATTCGCTTTGATCGAGCCAAAGGAGAGGGTTCGACGCGAAAGGGTGGAAATTTGGGAGAAAAGCGACTGACTTTGATCTGCGGCGTTTGACAGGAGTTTCGTGACTAATTAACTTTGGAGAGAGATTAAGATGTTCACCGTGTATGTCCTGAAAATTAATAGTTACGTAAACAACTAGCAGCATTTCTCCTAATTGACAAGTTTGGGTTTTGTTGATGGAGGCAATTTTGGGAAGTTAGAAATTAAAATTAAAAAATAATGTGGAAAATTAAAACTGATTGATTCCACCTTGAAGAGAACATTTAAATCAGGTTTAATTGAACTTACAAAAGTAGAAAGTTCTAGAAACTCCCTGAATATTTTGTGCAAATTGAGTATTATACAAATTATGAATTTAACGAAATTATTTTGCAAATCAGTATCAAAAGCAGAAGTTTTTTTTTAAGAAAAATCAAAATTTTCATGAAAACAATTATTTTTACAAGGAAGAACAAAAAAATTGGATGAAGAACATTTTTTCTGCTTTAATTCTTCTTGTTTGACTTTGAAAATTTACGCAACAAATTTTAATATTTTTACTCTTTTAAGAGAAAACTTTCTCCTGCCTTTCTCAAAACGGTGAAAAATGAGAGAACCCCGAGTTGAGAATGTCACTCGATCACGAACCCGTCACCTCGAGCTTCGCCTTCGCACACGTCGACGTAGGTTAGTATTGTTTGCTGCAAGCTGCGAGCGACCTTCAAATAAAATGCACGTCGCTGATTTGAAATTGAAATCGACGTTTCACACAAGTCGGGAAAGTTACGCACATTATACAAGAGGGAAAACAAAATGCAACTGAATTCGCAAATTGTCTGTGACGGATTGTTTGACTTGAAATTTTTATTTTCAATTTTGTAATTTTTTTCCAGCTCCGAGTTTCAAACGGGAATATTTTCCTTTTATTTTATTTAAGAATTTGAGAATTTCATAATAAGGAAGACAAAAAATTTTCTTTTTTAAAATGGGTTAAAACATTTTTTCCCAATTTGAATTCAAGCCGGCTTTTCCTTGATGGGTTTTGTGATCTGTAGATTGATAAAAAAAAAAAAAAAAAAAAACAATATCTGCTGGAGGAAAAGAAAAGCCGTCTTTAAATTCAGATCATCACAAATCAACCCTAGCTTAATCGTGAAATTCTATCACAAAACATTTTTCTGTTGGAATCTAATTGATCAAAATCAGATTTCGGAATAAATATAATCAAATGTGATATCTTTAAACAAGCATTAATAGATTTGAAATTAATTCAGTTTGCACGAGAAGCATAGTTCTTTAATATTAATTGCAAGGAGCATAATTTCTGAGGTGATTCATAAGAAGATAAAATGATTTGATGGCTTGGTTTAAAATTATTATTGACTTTGCAGGTTCTTCAAATTTGGTTTTATATCCAAATTCTTAGTTTAAAATTCTCCGAACTTTTTTCATTAATGCTTAAAGTTTATTAAAATTTTAGTCTTCCACGCACAATTTAGATTCATCCTTCCTTATGAACAAAGTTTAGAATTTTGCAAAACCTTCACACTTGAATAGCAGAGATATCATGAGAACAATATGTTAAGAATTAGGTACAAAATACTTCAAATTTTCGCTTTTTTATAATAAAATTCCGCTGAAGTTCGCATCTGCTTAGCCGCCCAATCCATTAAAATCAGCGGAGATTTATTTCGTTTGTTTTTCTTTAAGGGAGGAAACTTTTGATCGGTTCAGCCTAAACAAAATCCTCCACTTCGCATAAGCAAATTAAGGCTGCGCAACGTACGTCCAAAAAGTGTAGTCTCGCATCTGCCTATCTTTCTGCCCGAGAGCCTTTTTGCTCGCTGCTGCTGCTTTTTCTCCGCCTGTTTGCTTCCAGCAACTCTCTCTCCGCTCGCTCGTCTCTCTCTTTCTCTCCGCGTAAAATGTGCCCCGCGTGGAGGAAGAGAGACAGCAGAGCCGCCATTTCCATTCATCAGATAATGCACGTATTGAAATCATAACAACTCGCCTAGCGCTCTTGTGCCCCGACTCATTTAAAAAGACCTGTTCGCAAACCGGAAAACGCGGGGAAATAAAATTCGACGCAAATCAACCCCATTCCGCAACCCTTATATCTTGAATTGATAATGAAATTTCCTTGGATTTTACAAACTCTTAAATTTAATTAAGCTCCAAGGATTTATGACTAATATCGATAAGAAAAATTTAAAAGAATCAAAGAGATAATTATGAGTTATAATTTTCAACCCCTCTCGCTCTGGATGGGGTCGAATTTTTTGTTCCCTGGCGAAACAATCCTGTTGCTGCAGGAATTCCTAGTTTGAATTTTTGTGAAAATTACTCACATTCACATGGTGAATAGCAGAGAATCTCTTTGCTGGATAATCCAGGCGTGGCACACAACTCGCAGAAATCACAGTTTCACTCGAACGATATTCAGCAAAACCTGCAACAAAATGCAAACAAAGCTCTTTTATTGAAATGAAATGAGAATTGGTTAAAATAAGTTTCAGAGTTGTATTTGTTTATCAAAATTTAACAGTTAATCCCTAAAAGATCTTGATTAAAATTAAAACATCCTGGCATTCCTGGCTCATTCTGTTTTAAAAACAATTTTCATAAAGGATTCATTCTAATCTTATCAAGTGGTTTTATTATTACTGATCGGTGAACTCAGATGGAAAAAAGTTATGCTAAAATTTATTGTGTTTTGCAGTTCAAGCAACCCCTACAACTTCTGCAACGTTTTTGCTTTAAAAGTCAAAATTTAGGGGAGATTAGCTTATTTCCTCTTTGTAAATAATCTCAAGACTGAGAATTTAAATTAATTAATAAAATGAAACTTTCGCACGTAGTTTTTGCAACAAATAATGTTTAAAGTGCCCTTGCTTTGTAAGAGATTTAATAGCACGATTTTCCAGTTAGGCCGCGAGCGAGTGTCTGCTCTACATGCCTACATCGACGAGACTTGAAAGCCCAGCCGTACAGTTCGTTTTCCCGTTCCCGTGCTAAACTGCACCGCAGCCATGGCGAGTGCATATTTTTCAACCGCTTGCCGAAGGCATCGGCTTTATCCACGTGCAAATTGAGCCGAAAAGCGTTCACAGATGCTTACCAATCGCGAATCCGTCAGTGGAGACCGCACCAGTTGGCTGACGAACCGAACTCGCGGATTATCAGTCGAAATGCAGAACCTCGGCTGAGGCGAGCAACTCCGAACTCACTTCTTGCGTGTTTTTCTCTTTCTTGCTTGGACCGTTTTCGCATTGGGCAATAGGTAAAAGTCACCGGTTTGATAAAAATACCGATTTAAAATCCGGTTTTTAAACAGTTTAATTGGCAGTTAATTTTATTTTAATTGGAAAATCAAACCGGTTTCTTGGAAAAATGCAATCGGTATTTGAAAAATCCAGTTTTTTTACTCCACGGTTAACCGGTTTCTCCGTTTCTAAAGAATGGCCTGCAGCGCCATCACTCGATGGTACCGCAAATTTTGCAGCAAAACAACTTCTCGGTCTGCTTATGCTTCTTGTAAGTCGTCACGGCGGCAAGAAGTGAAGGGACATGAGCCGAAATCCGGAGCCTCGGGCGACGTAGAGCGTGCCAAGTTGCCGATTCAGCCGCTGGCACGACCTCAACGCAATTCGGCACCGATTGACAACCGAAGCAGCATCACCCGAACGCAGCCTGTCGAGAGCCGAATGATGTGTGGCACGACTTTTCACACCAAGTTTGTTTTTTGTGCTCATCTCTTTGCAAAGCGATAAGGAGATGTAATAAAAACAAAAACTATTCGAGTATTAACGAATTAATGCCAGCGAAGCAACTTTTTTCTTCAGCGGATAATCTCAGGTTGGTAAAATTAATCCACGAATTTGAACCGAAAATTTAATTTGATTTTTCTACAGAACTGGGCCAAAATGAATACCCCCAGAATAGGACGTGGCTCGAAAGGTAGAGTTTTTCTCTACATTGGCGTGGTGATGATCGTCGGTATCACAGTGGTCATCATTCACGAAACGCAGTCGCGGATGGACGACATGCGAAAGACGTCCGAAAAGTGCCAACAGCAGCAAGAATCTCTAGCCGCCCAGTTACAAGGTATTAATTCATAAAGTTACATCTATAAAATTTTGAACTAATTTTTATTTTTTTTTAGTTATTTTTGAGTACAAGACTCGGCTGGAAAAGTCGGTCCAGCAAGAAAAGGCTGACCACAAAAAAACTCACGATGATCTGAGCTCCCAACTGGAGACGGAGAAGACTAAACGAACAAGAGAGGTTTTGGACACAACAAACAAATTAGCCTCTCTCCAGCAGCACTACAAACTGCTCCAGGCAATTTACCGTTCAATTATTTTGTATCTGTTAACCTTGCATGAGTTTCGGCTTCTTAAAATTTATGCTTAACCTGGTTGCGGTGCATGAACTTTGTAGGGGCAGCACGAAGATTTGGCGGAAGAGTGCAGCGGGGTGCGGAACGGGGCCATCAAGGCCCTGGAAGAGCAGAGGATGGCCGAAAGCCACCTGCGCAAGTTGAAAGAACAAACTGACGCCGAGATCAAAATTTACAAGGTTGTGGTCTAACTGGCTTCCTTTTTCCTTTTTTTGGTTATGGTTTTTTCCTAACGCAGACAGATATTTTTAAAATTTAACTTGTAATGATCCTTGCAGAGTCAAATAGCGCAACTGAAAATTGAAAAAGAGAAGCTTTCGAAAGTGATCAAGGAAGATGGAAACGAGGTTTCCAATCTTCAAGATGAGAACCAACGCCTTGAAAATGAAATCAATCAGTGCAAGGTTTCTTTTCTTAATTTGATTAAAAATTTGAATTTCCATTTTGTTTATTCACTTTATAGAAGGAATTAGCGTCCTGTCCAGCCAAGTCTTCAGCAGGTGTTGCCGTTCCAAATTTCCAATCACCCTCCGCAGCAAGCAGCTCGGCGTCTCCTATGGACGCAAATGGCAAAGACCCCCTGCAAAACGTTTTGCAGCAACCTGACGGATCAAAGGTATGTGGTTTTTATAAATAAGTAAAATTGGCATTTTATATAAAATGGCTAAAATAATTTAAATGAAAACAAATGAAAAGATGTGTTAAAAAACTAAATAATATTTAGAGAAAACTTTGTTTCCGGTAATTTTTTTATTTTTTATTTAAAATGAAATTAAATTTTTGTCTGCATTTCAACTGATTTTATAGTTGATTTTTTTTTTAATTTAAATATCCTGGAGATTTGACTTTATTTTATGTTTATTATTTTATCAGGCCCAAAGTTCGTCCCCCACCGCAGGCAAGAGCACAGCAAAGAGCAATGTTGTGCCTGTCCCAGCACCAGGACCGGACGCCCCAAAGCCTCTTGTTGGTGCCTTAGATCAGCTTCCAGCCGGTGTGGTGCCTCCCGGTGCTGTCCCCAAAGTCCAACACGATGACTACAATAGCCACGACAACTTCCTGCAGCACAATAACCAAATCGCCCAGCCAAATCTTCCATTCCAAAACAGTTTTCTCCGACAGCCAGAGCAGGAGGAGGAGGATCAGAAGAGGGCCGTCGGGGCCGCCCCGCCTGAGCAGAAGATGCAGTGGAACAGGGGTAACGAAATTGAGGAGGAGGACGAGCATAGAGAGGCAGGCATGTTCCAGAACTACAAGGAGGACGGTGCTGACAGAGGTGCCGGCCATTGGAATGGCGGAAACCACCATCTGCCGGATGGAGAGAGACACGAAGATCTGCAACTTGAAGATCCTGACGAAGATGGTTGGTTAAGCTTCATAATTTTGAAATTTTATTTTTAAATAATTTTTAGAAGGAGATGATGACGTAGATCAAATCGATTATGGCAATGATGTAGTGAATAACAAAAATCACAACGGAAAACAAAAGGCCCACCGAAAGTTCCCTTTGGTAAGGAGTAAACATTTAATTTCCCTTCCTTTAGTAAATTAAATTTTTAGGGAGGTAAGCATGATGGTGTGATGGTCAACCCTAAATAAAATGATCACCAGCTGGACAAACGTAATGTAGTAAAATAGTCATGACTTGAACTGTGAGAACAGCACAAAGCCACCAATACACACCAATAGTGTGAAAACTTACTGTTAGTTAATACAAAACGCACACTTCGTTTAGCAACACAGAACTTAACAGTTTGGAATGCTTGTAAAAGTGATAATGTGTATTGAGTTTTGTTACTCGAAGCATTTATTGTGAGGGAATGAACCTCGCTTCAGTGAGGAAAATCTAACGAATATTATATTTTTAATGGTCAATTTATTGGTACATTATTTTATCCTACTAACAACTGTTATTATGATTTTTCCCCCAACGAAAACGTTTTGGACATTATTTAGGGTTTTATTAATAATGTTCCTATCAGTTTATGATTGAAATACAATTTTTATAAAAATTAAGGTAGTTTATTATTTTTACAAAAAACAATACCCTTCTTTTTCGTCGGAACATCTGGTTTAGAGGAAGGGCCACTTAAAGAGGCATTCCTCTTTGCTGCCAGCCTAATTTGATTAGGAATGAAAATATTGGATGAAGTTTTCTTTGGCTTGTGTGTTTTTTCACTTTTTTCAGGCAATTGCGGACCATACACCTTGAAAAATTAAATTTAATAAAAGTTATCTTCAGTCTTAATTCAAATACCTTTTTGGTTTGTTTTACATCTTGTGCTGGTCTTTCAGGCCTTTTTATAAATTTTCTTTCTGCTTGAACCAGTTGAGAGCTACTTTCTCCAAAGTTATTGCTCACAGGTGCTCTGTAAATATGTGATTTCATTTTAGTATTAAATTTCAGGTTCAACCAAGTAAAATATAATGATTTTAATTAATACCTAGAATTAATTTTCAGTCTTTTAATTACATCAGCCTTTCTTTCTTGTAGTTTTAAACTCAATTCGTCAATGCTTTCTAATTCAGGAGCATAGCAGACATGCAGCACTCCTCCATAAAAAGAAGTAGCATCAAGTCTCCTTTTGGCAAGTCTAAAAAAAAAATTAAAATTATTAAAATTAATTCTCAATTAGGACATAATTTTACCTAGCACTTGTGATTTCCAAAAATACAGCATGATACACAGCTGTGAATGCTTCTTTGTCTGGGTAGTCAGGCAATGGGACTAATTTTTCCAATTTTCCTAATTTTGACAAAGTCGACTTCAGTTCTGGTCGCACATTAATGTCAGGCACTCCGTGGAAAAGTAAGTGCCGAGATTCGCTGGCCACGGTATATACCTATGAATTAAACAATTTTTTTCAAATAACTGCCAATTCCTTTACATTGAAATCATACTTTGACCGCAGTCAATTTACGGCCTTGTCTGTAAGCCGGTCTTGTTGTGCATAATTCTTGTTGGATGTGATGAGGGAGTTGTTCCATTTTGAAAAAAATCCTGTTAGTGGTTTACGTATGTACAAGGAACAATGATTTTTTTTCTCAAAAATTAATGAAGCTTAAAAAACATGCACAGCAGAAATTTCAACTCTCGCTTCCAGTTTTCCAGGGAAAATAATGAAACAATGACGAATCACGAATTATCAACCCTACTTTTCGCATTTCCCGCGGCCATTATATTGATGATTCCAAAACATTTACATGCTAGCCAACAAGTTGTTCGAAAAAATGAGGACTTTGAAAATAAGAAAAAAATTAAAGGGTGCGGAAAATAATGAAAATACTTATGATTTTATATTATTTATTTTTAATTTAAATTTTTGTACCTTTTAATCCAGCTTATTGAAGGATGATATCAAAATTTAACTTTGTTATGTTGTTTAGCTTGACCAAATCATTTCTGAAATCATTAATGACGGAACACGGAGCTTGCTCGTGGCGTGGTCCATCTGTCGATTTTTAATCGACGGCAACAGATTTTCCACTCTTTTTTCATGTTATCTTTGGATATTCCTTTCCTCAATCACCACGTAAAAAGAAAACTCATCGGATAATCCTAAGCTCGGTATACAATCATGGCTAGATACGGCCAGCGTCCGGAAAATGCGCTCAAGCGAGCGACCGGTAAGTTTCTAACACTCATGTCCTCCACGTGAAAATCGATCATCTTTCTAAAATTTGTTCTTTCGCAGAGTTTATTGAGGTGGGGAAGCAAGCCCGAGCTTTGGACACCCTGTACGAGGTGTTCAAGAACAAGAAATGGGTGTTCAGCTGGAGCGAAAGTGTGCTGGAACCCATAATGTTCAAGTACTTGGAACTGTGTGTCGAATTGAAGAAGTCGCACATAGCCAAGGAAGGATTGTTCCAGTACCGAAATCTCTTCCAATCGGTCAACGTCGGTTCCCTAGAGAACGTGATTCGATACTACTTACGAACGGCAGAAGAGCGGACGGAAGCGGCAAGGGAGCAATCGCAACAAGCTGTTGTGGACATCGATGATCTGGACAACCTGGAAACTCCAGAAAGTATTCTTCTCAGGTAAAAATTGTTTAATTGATTTCACTCTAATATTCTTATTCATGCAACCTTTCAATTCCAGTGCTGTAAGTGGTGAAGATGCCCAAGACCGAAGTGATAGGACCATTCTCACCCCTTGGGTCAAGTTCCTTTGGGAGTCTTATTGCCAGTGCCTCGAACTTTTGCGCACAAATACCCATGTAGAAACTCTTTACCATGACATTGCCCGGATGGTAAGAATTTTTTTGCTATTTTTTAAAAAAAAAATTGAATTAATAATTTAATTTTCCAGGCCTTTGCTTTCTGCCTCAAGTATAACCGCAAGACTGAGTTCCGTAAACTATGCGACAAATTGCGGAAACATCTGGAGGACATCCAGAAGCTGACGCCCCAAGTGGCTAATGTGTCCATCAGCAAGCCGGAGACGCAGCAGTTGAATCAGGACACTCGCCTGGTGCAGCTTGACTCTGCAATTCAGATGGAGTTGTGGCAGGAGGCGTATAAGGCGATCGAGGACATCCACGGTTTGATGAACCTGGCCAAGAAGTCACCAGTGCCCAAGACGATGGCCAACTACTACCAGAAGCTGGCCCTTGTCTTCTGGAAAGCTGGCCACAACCTCTTCCACGCCGCGGCCCTGTTCAAACTCTTCCAACTGTCCAAGGAGATGAAGAAGAACATCACTCAGGAGGAGCTGTCTAAGATGGCCTGCAGGGTGCTGATCGCCACCCTGTCCATTCCGCTGCCATCCGCCCACCCTGAGTTTGACCGCTTCATTGAGACGGACAAGAGTCCTCTGGAGAAGGCTCAGCGATTGGCCGTCCTCCTGGGACTCTTCCAGCCACCAACTAGGAAGTCTCTCCTCAGGGACATCCTCCGAATGAATGTCATCAACTTGGCCACGCCCCATCTGCAGGAGCTGCATCTGTGGCTTGAAGAGGAGTTTAATCCTCTGCAGCTGTGTACCAAAGTACACAGCATCATTGAAAAAATCAGGGCAGACGAAACTGCCACTGGGCTTGTGCAGTACATCCCTGCCCTTCAAGATGTGACCCACATCAGACTTGTTAGACAGGTATATTACTTTAATAAAAAAAAGTATTTAACTAAAATAAAGCTTTTGAATGGATGCATTTGAAATTCAATCAGGTTTTTGTTACCTACGCTTGAATTTGTACTTATAATTATTTCAATTTTCAGGTGTCCCAAGTGTACCAGACTATTGAGATTCCACGACTGGTTGAACTGGCCTGTTTTGCCACTCCTTTCCATCTTGAGCGTCTTCTTGTTGATTGCGTCCGGCACAACGACATGCAGATTCGCATTGATCACCGCAACAGCTGTGTGCATTTCGGAATGGATCTGGCACAGTCCCAGCGAGAGGACAAGGCGGAAGGCCCAACCCTGCAAAGTATGCCCTCGGAGCAGATACGCAATCAGCTTATCAACATGGGCTCTGTTCTATGCCAGTCGGTTAAGATCATTGAACCACTGAAGAAAAAGGTAAAATATAATTTTTTTCTTCTAGTTTTTATATTTAATTTATCTTATTCATTTTTCTTTCTTAAAAAAATGATATTCACATGAATATTGGACAATTTTTTGAATATTTTTTTCATGTAATTGAACTAATAATTGATTTTTAAATTTCAGAACGAGAAAGCCAAGGCGATGCAGACGCTGGTGCAACACTACCATGAGACAAAGGTGCGTGAGCACCGTGACGTCCTTAACCGCAGGGTCATTATTGAAGAACGCAAGGAGATGTTGGAGCGGCTCAACACTGTCCGAGAAGAGGAGGAAGCGCGTCGACTGGAGGAGTTGGCCCGGCAGCAGGCCATGGCCGAGCAGAAGCGGCTTGCCCAGGAACGGCAGGAGCGAGAACGCAAGCGGCAGGAGAATGAGCTGCAGCAGATCAAAGACCGTACCCTCAAGGAGAAGATGCAGCAGATTTCGCAGACCAGCCACGGTCAACGCATTCTGCAAAAGCTGCAGGACGATGTGAGCTCATTAACTGATGAAAATAATTAGACATGGTTGTTGAAAAAAATCTTTTTAGGATTTGAAAAAACTAGACGCCGATGAAATTGCCATGAGAGAAGTGGAGGAGCTGCAGAAGGAACGGCGAGAGCTGCAACAAAAGCTCAAGTCCCAGGAGAAAAAGGTGGATTACTATGAGCGTGCTAAGAGGCTGGAGGAAATTCCTCTTTTGGAAAAGTCTTTCGACGAGAAGAAGGTAGTTCATTCCATTTAGATTTCATATTGGTTTAAACCAGTGAGGTTTAGGAACAAGACATGAAGTTCTGGGAAGCTCAAGAAAAGCTGAGGATTGCCCAGATGAAGGAGGAGCGGGTGCTAGCTGTGCAAACCAAGCAGCGTTTGGCCAAGATAATGGCCGACAAGGAGCACTTTGTTTCAAAGCTCAAGGAAGAGCGGCGGGCCGAATTCAAGGCCAAGGAAGAGGCCTTTAAGGCAAGCATGGCCGAGATGCGTGTCAAGCTGCTGGCCGAGCGCAAACAGCAGCGCAAGGATCGCCGTCGTCAAGACTGGATTCGTGCCAGGGAGATGGAGGAAGAGCGCCTTCGTCGGGAGGAAGAGGAACGCCTCCAAGAGATCGAACGTAAACGCCGCGAAGAGGAGGAGGCTCTTGAGCAGATACGCCGAGAAAAGGTACAGCACAGTTTTTTTTAATACAAACTAGGATTCTTAAATATTTTTTGTAGTTGATCAAACAATTCAGATAATTAAAGAAATTAGTAATTTATGTGCAGTCATGAAATTGTTATTTAATTAAGTTTTACAAATTTCATTTTATTTTTTTATCAAAATTTAATGTTCTCATTTTCAGGAGGAGGAAGAACATCGTGAGAGAATGGAGAACCTGGAAAGGATTGCCATCAAGCAGAGAGAGCGCGAACGCGAGATCGAGGAGCGCACCCGCGCGGAGCAGGCCGCCGGCCGAGACCGGGACCGTGGTGGTGAACGAGATACGGGCTCGAAGAGCTGGCGGCGTGATGAGCGCCCTGGAGATGTTGCCCCACGACGTCCTCCACCCGATTCAGACTCTTGGCGCAGCAGGGGTCAGTCACCACCTTCTCGAGGCAAGGAGGAGGCCTGGAGGCCATCTGGAGGTACAATTTTTATATTTTTTATATTATTTTTTCTAGACATAACTTGCAACTTTTTGTGTTACAGAACGACGAATCATTGATCGAGATGATCGAAGAGACGACCGCCGAGGAGATGATAGGAGAGACGATCGCCGAGGAGATGATAGGAGAGATGATCGTAGGGATGATAGAGACAGGGACAGACGTCCTCCTATGTCAAGGGATTTCCCACGTCGAGCCGTATGTTTTATAATTAATATAGTAAATTCTTTAATCTATGAGAAAATTTTCATTTTATTTCAGATGGGTGACGGTGGAAGCTGGAGGTCTGCACAGCCTGCAGGTGAAGGCGAACCTCGTGAAGTGCCCGTTAGGTAAGCTATTAGATTTACAAATTTTCAATTAATTAACTTGAGAGTATCAGTAAAAGTAACTAGAAATCTAAATTGAAAGAAAAGTGGAATTATCTTGAAAAAATTAAAAGCCTATTGATTAATTGATTTCTTTTTTAAATTCAAACATTTGTTCTCTTGAGCACGTTTTGAGAAATTATTATTTTTTTTTTTTTAATTTTCAAACTTTTTGCAGGAGAATTGAAATCAATCGTCGTGATGACCGTGATCGCGGAGATGACCGTGGGGGTCGGGAGGCGTGGGGTCGCGGAACTGACCGACGAGATGAGCCCAGGGATGAGCGTCGAGATGAGAGACGTTTTGAAAGACGCGGAGATGATAGGCGAGCGGACGACCGTGGTGGTCCTGGCGGTCCAAGGCTAGACTGGAGCCGCGGCGGCGGAGCGTCTGCCGAAGCTCCTCGTCGCAAGGAGGAACGCGAGGAAAAGAAACCAGCAGGTAGCACTCATTTTTAAAAGTTCAATCCAAGTTGGTCATGAACAGAGGAAATTGCAGAACGACCGGAACGTGTTGCGCCACCACCCCCTGCAGCAGAGGAGGGTGACGACGGAAGCTGGCAGCGTGTCAGCCGCAAGTGAACAGGTCCGACTGCCACATTAGTTGAAGACGCCACTTGCATTCAGTTGAATTGTTGCTCTGTATAAAATTCCAAAAGCAAGTGGTCATCATGAATTAGGTTCATTTTGGTCCTCGTCAATGAGAGGTTTGTGCTCTACTCTTATTTCTAGCATCCCTATCTCATTTTGTTCACCCTGGCTGGTATCAATAAAGGTTTCTTATTTACGGATTAAATATGCCTTAAAATTTTTACTAAAATCTATCTTCATTTAAAAAATAAGACGGTGATTTAACTCAAGTTATGTATTTATAAAAAATATTCTTTTGAGAAATTAATATTACAAGGATCAAAATTAATGTTGCAAGAATCCTGGTCCATGTCACATAATTTTCATTAAATTCTCCACCTGTAATTTGAACTAGTTCTCTTTAATTTTTGCGTTTTGCATAATAAAAATGCACTGACATATTTTTCAAACATTTTATTGCAAAAGCCAAGTTTATATCTCGTTTTCACACTGAATCTTCAATCAAATATGAACAACTATAATATTTTTATCTCTTATCTTCTTAAGAAGGACACAAATCTTCATACATAATCGGAGAACTATGGGGGGTATCAACTGGTTCGTCAATTTTTGTGTTAAATTTACTTTTGCGAATGAGAGACACATCAAAATGTAGGCTTTCATGAATGGTTTGTTAATCACATAAAATATACACACAAGGTTGACCGATCAATCGTGTATTTGCAGGAAAATCTCGTATTTTATTCAACATCTAAGCGCAGGTAGGAATAAAGTGTCGTTTTTATAATTAATACCGCTCCTTACGAAGCCATATATGATTACAAACCATGGTCCATGTCTGTGAGAATGGAACACACTTGCCCACTCACGAAACTCACAACTCTCGTAAAAGTGGCGATTGGAAAATTATAAAACATACAGCAAAAGGGTTAAGAAATTGACGACACAAATCCGATCTTGATGTACATATTATAATATTATCACACATACATCTTATGTCTGCAAAATGACTTTCATACGCTGTTGTATTTTATTTTTGATCTGCTGATAAAGTTCGTTCACAATAGTTTGGAATGTTGTTCACATAAAATATTAAATTTCGTCGTTCTCATCTCTTTTTAATTGAATCATAAAAATCACATGCTTCTCATTCTTCATTCGCTGAATTATTTCTCAAATAGGTATATAATTATTTTTAGGACTTGATGTGCATTTTAGAAGAGAATTCCTTGCTTTGTTTTCCAGTTCGGTAGTATATTATTTAAATTTGTCAAAATTAAAATACGTGAGCAAAGTGCAGATCTGCAGATTATGGATTTAATAAATCAAATAATTAACGCTTCAAAATGCGCGCTGGGTTTTGTTTTTTACCTATTAAGTGTATTTTCTTTACATTGGTCAGGGTCGGGGCGACTCTCGGCGTTTCTCTAGCTAATTTTCATCACCCAGCGCTTGCACTTTGAAGTGAAAAATGTCAAAAATGAACATGTACCGTTTTTACACACCTGCTTTTTAATATATTCAATGAGACATCAAAGGCGATCAAGATATTCAAGTTGAAAAAAGAAAGGAGCGTATTTCCGGAGTCTTTCCTTTATTATAATTAGTTAGTTTGATGCAATCCATTAAGTTCTGGCTTTTTTGTATTTAGAATTTTAATTGGAAGGGCGCACGTGGTTATAATTATGTTGTGTTACTTTATTTTTAGGGTGATTTTAAATTTCTTTCCTTAATTCTTTGAACGTCGCCATGTGTGTGAGAGAGATAGAGAGCAATCAACAGTTGATTTAAAACGATAATCACATATTCAAATTTTGCACTTTTCAACACACATAATTTTGCTAGTGTTTTCCATACATGGGCAGAGCGCAATTTGCGCTCTGCGATCTGCGCTCGCGCTCTGCGCTCATGAGCGCGAGCGCAGAGCGCGATCGCACGATTTTCAAAATCGTGAGCGCGAGCGCAGAGCGCGAGCGCATTGGTCGCTGAGCGCAGCGCTCAATTGCGCTCATTTTGCGCTCAAACCAAAAGTAAAAATTCCCGAATTTGATCAAAAATTGTAATGAAAAACAGTGTTTTTATACCAAAAACTTCAAAACTGATCCCAATTTTGGTGATTTAACTTCAACTTTATCATTTCCAATTGCCGATGTATTTTTTGTTATATTAAAAAATTGTCTTAAAAGTCGCATTTTTCTTCGGATAAAAATATTTTTGAGCGCAACGCGTGAGCGCAAGACTTTTTAAAAATTTGAGCGCGAGCGCAGAGCGCGAGCGCAACATTTTCAAAATCTTGAGCGCGAGCGCAGAGCGCGAGCGCACTGTTGCCAGTGATCGCGAGCGCGAGCGCGAGCGCAAAATTGTTGAGCGCACCCATGTATGGTGTTTTCTATTAGTTTTGTCTACAGACACACCCTTTTCCGTTTTTCAAAACCTCTATGCAAACCCTTCAAGCGCGGTACTCCAGGTAATTATTTTATGTCAAAAAGGCGAGAACATCATTTTCTTTAATTTGCATCAACATGGACGACATAGCTTTAGTGGGTCACGGATTTCTACATATTTTATTAATTTATAAATAAAAAGAAGGAATTTCGCAAGTGATGCGATAACTCAAGGAGATAAAAATTTGAAATTGTTTTAAATCAACCAACATTTCTTAAACAAATAAATAAAAAATTACAAACGTATAAAAAGAAATATTTTAAATTGACAAATTCTAAGTAACAGGTTTCATTTCTCACTGAAAAATATAATATACAACCTATACAGGCAACTTTTGCTATCCGCATATAGGTTAATTTTTATCGTTGCATTTTCCAATTAGTAAATTCTAATCAAGCGGTTTCTTTTACATGTATTAACGGGTCTACCAATTATTCCCTATAACAATTTGGATAGTTTTGTGTAACTCTTAGCTTTTTCATAAAATTTGGGGGATAAAAACATAATATATCACTTCTTTCTACAATAGATTTTTAAACACCGCAGTTTCTACGTTCTCTGAACAGATACACGGAGAGAAGAGTTGGATCTACCAAACTACTAAACATCCAGATGGGTTTAAAATATAATCGCGCGCATAATCTTATTGTGACACACTGTAATAGTCTCTATAATTATGTATATTCGTACACCACTAATTGCACGTTTTTTCTGAATCGTTGAGCTTTTCTTTGCGTTCAAAATACCTCGTCGTTTTAACTGCCTTCTCGTGTCTCTTTGCGAATCAATTATTTATGCCGATTATTTAATCCGTTGAGTTTAATTATATATATAGAGAGAGATTATCCTTTTATAATCATCGTGTTAGATGCCGCGTTCACTTATTTCTTTTTAAAGATTTTTATAGTTAGAGAGATTTGTGTGTACGTTGATTAAGTGGTGTGTAGATTTAAAAATCCTCAATATATACCAATGAGTTTTAATTAATTAATTAATTTTAAATCATTTTTTTTCTCACGTCGCAGTTTTAAGAATAAAGTACATAGTGTAGTATATAATTATAAAGTCCAGCAGTATTAAAATCACAGATAGTATGGCAACGGTCCCCATCTTGGTTCAGCTTCCCGTCTCGAATCAATTTGCAAGATTTGAACGAAAACGCCGTCTGCGCCTGCGCACACCGACTGCGCACGCGCACTTGAGCGCGGGAAGTGGAGGACGAGGCTCGCCGCCATAGGGTGTGTGGCAATACCGATAAGAGTGGCGCGTGAAGTGAGGACCACAAAGGAGTCAATCGGGCGCTATGATGCCCCCGGGTTTGACGACTCGGTGCCGCCTCCGGGCCGCCTCCGGTGGAGGTGTTGATGATGCTGGAGCAGCAGTTTGGTCTCTTCAGTCGGCGACCCCGTCTCCGCCTGCCGGTCAAGGCTGCAGCCGCACGTGGCCACCCCCGCTTCCCCCAGCAAGTGGTGCCGACAGTTGGCAACGCCTCGTTCAACGGGCTCCTCCGTATTCGGCGAGCGGAGGGGCGGTGGTCGCCGACGCGCCGAAAACTTGCTCAGGCCGCCCGGACCGAAGTCGGCGCCGCCGTCGAGGATGACGGCGCCACCGAATTTGATAGGGGCGGTGCCCCGGGAGGACTTGGAGGAGGCACGGAGGATCATCGGCGAGCTGGTGCTGATGTCGTTGACGTCGCCGAGCAGGGGGTCGCCCGCCCCCACTGATATGAGCTGCTCACACTCGGGGTCAAAACCTGCCGCGGCACCGCCGGACGCGGCGCCACCTGCGCCCGAGCCCTTGGCACTGTCAGACTTTTTCAGGATGCTCTTTTTTCGTTGCTCCGCGGAGGGACTATCAATGGACTCTGCGGACAGCGAGCCGCGACTATTGCTACGACCTGAAATAGAAATAAACATTAATTTTTTTATAGATATAAAATAAACTAAACCAATTGGACCAAACTAAATTCATTATTTAAAATTTTTTTACAACGTGTTTTTGAAAAGAAATTGTAAGAAATGATTTGCCTATTATTTATGAATTTCAACTTCTGCATTCAATTTTTTCTTGGATATTTTAAACTTTTTTAAATTAAAATTTTCTTTATTACATTTTTCATAAATTTTGGAATGAAAATTTTCAGATGATGAATAATATTATTAACTAGAAATATTTTACAATTTACAATTTCTACAAGATCAGTTTGTTTTGCATAATATTTTAGCTAATAATCTGTGAAAACAATCTTGACGAAAATTCATCTTCATTAATCAAGTGCTCATTAGGCGCGCAAAAAGCAGATGAGGCACATAAAATATAACATACCCATGGACCCAAAGAGGTGCTGATTAATGATCCTAGTGGCCGAGGCCAGACTGCGGGACGGCATGAAAGTGGGCCTTCTGGCAGTGAGCAGTGACGTGGTGATTGAGCGGCCCCGACTCAGTCCCAGGGGTTCGTCGGTCGAGTTGCCGGTGTAGCCACCCTTGGTGAGGCCCTTCGACCCCTGCAATCAGATCAACACACTCAATAATTACGTACAGATTATTGCAAGTCTTTAAAATAGAAAAGAAGAAGACAATGAAATATTATGGAAAAAGTAAAAGGAGCGCATGATATGCTAAGCGAATGATCTTTTTGTGATTTAAATGAAAATAAGAGAAATTTGACGCATCAAAAGAGAAAAACTTGACAAAAAAAGTGAGCACATTTGATGTGGAAGCTAAATTAAGAATTATTAGTCGCATGGGGGGGGGGGGGGAGGTGAAATTCAAGATAAATAGGCTCTCGTGTATTTTATAAACCCAATCTTATTGCAATTTCTAAAGAAAAAGAAGCATAAGTTTTAGTATTAAATGATAAATAAAAAGTAATATTCAGTTGATTTAGGCAACCTGCGCATCACATCTATCAAGAATTTGCCTAGGTTTACATACTGCAGGCGTTGTAGAAAAATTTATATTTAGGAAAATTTTTATAGATCTGTGTTTCAGAAGTTTGGCCTTTAGTCGTTATGGAAATCTCAAGGAAGTTTGCTTTTTCAAGTTAATTATTATGATTATTAATAATATTTTCCCACTCAATGCAAGAAATTGCAGCTACCATTAAACGACAGGTAAAATAATATATAAAATTTTTTACTTCATTATGCTAGAAAATTTACCAATTTAGTAAACAGAATTATCTTTATCGTTCTAAAAAAAACTTCTGAACGCTTAAAACTGTTTTATCAGAACATCTCAGCCTGTGGAAATATTATTTCCTGAAATTTTCTCCTACTACTTCTAAAACATTTAACTTTCATTCCTCCATTAAAGAATCAAATCATAGTATGAATTAAATAAGACTAAAAATTGCGAGATATAAATTAAAAATTCAGTTTTTATATGCCTGTGAAAATTTCATTAAACCCAGACTGCTTTTTTTTTAGTAATACTCAACGCAAGAATCGAAAAATTTTAATGAATATCGTGGACATCGCAATCAAGGAATTAGCACCCTTAAACTTTGAGGATAATTACCATTTTAGTACCAGAAGTATTTAAAACTCGGAGAATTTCCTTAGCTTAGGTTATAAAAGTGTAATGTTGGTCATTACATTTTGTCCACTTTCATATTAAAAAATTAAAAAATAGCTATTCATAATTTTTTTGTTGAAAGAAAATATTAATAAATTGGTCTAGCCTGTGGTGATTTGGGTGAGTAAGGAAAGGAATTGTGATCGCAAAAGGTGCTTGGAGAAAAAGAGAGACCTGTTGGAAGCGCGTTTTGCGGTGCTTGGGCAGGTTGGTGAGGCTGCCCCTGCTGCGGCGGAGCTCGTGGTTGAGCGGGTCCATCTCGAGTTCGTCGTCGTCGGCTTCGTCGTCGTCGGGCGAAAGGGAGCGCAGGGCGTCGCCGGACGCGCTCTTGACGGGGCCGCGGTGGAGACGCGGCGAGTTGGGCGTCGCGAGCAAGTCGCCGGCCACCATCGAAATGTCGGCCTGCGACGTGAAAGGGTGCGTCCCGCAACTCGCGTACGTGTCCGAGCTGTCCACGCTGCCGGCCATGTGGAGCTGCGGCGCCGCGAAGGCGCCGCGCGCCGGCGTCGGGGGCAGCGCCATCGCTCGCGCCTTCTGCATCCGCTTCATCTCGAGGCACACGCTGCTCCGCAGATCGCTAGTCCCCAAAGGCATCAAGTTTTCGGCGTCGATGAATTCTTTGTAGTCCTGCAAACAGCCCTAGTTTTGCCTCAAGCGCTCGCAACAAGTTGTTTTTTTATAATTGTGTGTCTGTATTTTGGGACAGTAGAGGGGGTTCGGGATATTAAACTCTCTGGCAAGAACTGGTTTAGAGTGGTGGTTTTTTTTCATTGGTTGCTTTTATGGTTTTGTAAATAGACTAAACGTGTTTTTCAATATTTCTTAATTTAAAGGTGTCACGACTTTTGTTCTTCGCAAATTAAAAATAAAAAAATCTTTTGAGAAAAATTTGACATTGAGGAAATTTTAAAAATTTCAATATAAATCAGCATAAATTCATTATTATTCTTCTTCTATAGTAAAATTACTAAAAAATTTTATCTTAAGTATCAAATAAAATCCGACCGATAAAAAGTTTAAAGGTGAATTAATATTAAGCCCAGATATAATATTTCTAATAACAATCACCGAAAATCGTGGGTGGGCGTTCGTCGCCTGTTTACTGCCAAAAATGCAATAATATTCTTATGGGAGCGGTTCGGTCATTAGTTCCTGCCGGTTATTAGCGAGAAAGGCACAATGAGCGTCTGAAACATTAATGGGGTGTGGCAATTCCACCCTCTCTCTTGGAGCAAGAGTTTCTCGTCGGGTGCACAATATACTCACGCGCCCTTCCTGCGAAACGACGGTAATTATAACTTGCTGCTCTGCAACGCACCCAGAGAGATTGAGCAGCGCCGACGGAGTCTTTAATTTAATTAGAAAGTGCAGCTTGGTGAAAATATTATGCAAGAGGGCATTTTCTCAAAATCTTTGTGAAATAAGGAAATTTTGATTTTTGCTGATTTAATCTTACTCGCAAAAATTCTTCCCCAATTTAAATTATTTAAATAACATTTCAAAAAGTTTTCTTAATCAAACTGACAACTGATTTTGTATTTTTTCTTTCAATTCACTCCTCTAATTCCAGCCAGAGAGAAGGATAAAAAGAAGATTTTCCTAGTAGGGAACTATAGAGAAGAAGGCCCTAATTAACGTTAGTGTGAAAAAGGTTTTACTTTGTTAATAATTGACAAAGTAATATTTTTTCTGCCTCACAATTAAATTGTATATTAACTTACCAGTAGATTTTTCAAAGCAAGGACTCACATTTTCGGAAAGTTACACTGCAGGGGAGGAGTATTAATATATATATAAAATTTCCGTTAATTCTTTTTCCGTAGTCGGAAAAGGGTAAAGTATAGAGAAAGGGACGGCATAATCGAAAAAGAGAAAGATAGAGAGAGAGTTTGTACACATTTACATGCAACACTGATCGTATGTAGTATCCATTAAAAGTATACATGACACCAACAAATGAGAGAGAGCAACACATCAATATAGATGCAATATAAATTACCAAGGGCGCATAATTCCCCAAGAGAAGTATTGCACAGATGAAAGGGCATGCTATTTATATATACTTGCTGGGAGACACATAAATATAACTAGCATATTTTTTTTATAAACTAACCTCGCGTGGTTTTCTTTTTGGTTTAGTATAATAATTTTTTAATCGGGACCGGTCGTTTAGAAGATGTTAGTGTGTTGGCAGTAGTTTTGTTTTTAAACGGGTCTTATTTAAACGGTTTTTTAATAATGTGAAACTCACCTTATCGTTAGCGTCCTCAGTCACGGCGGTTGAATTATTTAGTAAGACAATTTGTTTTCCCTTAAAGGTATATGCTCCCTCCTCTCTTCCTGCTCCTATAAAATATTTAAGACGGGAATTGTCTTTGATGTTTGTTTTTATTTCCGCAGCGCTGCGTATTGCTGTTGATTGAATTTTAGAATTGGAGAGAAAAAGAAAAGGCCGTATTTTTGTGGAAAATAGGCCGGCGCTTATATATTTTGCAGAAAGATTATGTGTGTAAGAGATAAGGCTTTAAATTTATTTATAATTGTTCATTGTTTCATTTTAGAAGTGTACAGTAGTGGGATGTTATGTTTTAAGAGTATGTGTGTGTGAAAAGCATGGAAAAAAAACTTCTGTAAATCCACCGAGGGCTGCAATTTGCATAATTAATGCAATATTCCAAAATAGAGATAAAAATGATAAAGGTTTTTGCAATTATTTTTTCAAAAAATAATTTCCTGTTAATATTATGGATTCTAATTTCAATATTATTTTAAAGTATTATTTTAAATAAATGAGTGCAATGTAAATAATGAGAAAAATTTGATACTTTTTTTATGTCAAAATTCTCATAATTGTGGAAGATTCGTGTATTGGGATGCTTTCTGAATTGATTTGAGGACAAATAAATATTGGCAATTTTGGTGGATAGGCAGAAATCGCTTTTCCAAGTCGCTTATATAGTTACTGTATAGTTTAGCCGTTTACAAGTTAGCGTTTAAGTAAAACACACTCCTCATCAGTCGACAACAAACAACAACAACAATTTGAGAGTATAAGTAAGTAAGTAATTCCCAAACTATGATAGGCACACACGCATTCTCAGTTGAAAATTTCCCGATTGGAAAAATACACACAAACGAACGACATGCAACATGCAAACAACTAGATAAGGAGAGAAAAACGATGGCGGGGTGAGGAGAAAGAGAGAGAGAGATGGCAGCCATAAAACAGGGAGAAAGCAATAAAATTTTTATCGGCGGCCCAAATTTATATATGTATAGAGAGCTGGACGGAAAAACACGAAAATGCTGCGTCATAAAAGGTGGGCAATTCAGAGAAAAAGAGACTCCGAGTGCACGTAGGAAAAAGACACTTATTGAGGCATGACAGGAGTTGCGTGTCGCCGGTGAATTCTATATTAAGTGAATCTATCAGAAACGACCCCTAGTTAGATTCTCACAAGTCAGACACACTGCGCTATTTCTAGGACACTGACAATGATTTTTGATCGAGCCTTTATGTGAATGGAATAATTACAACACCCAGAACTAGTTCGGAAAGTATATAATGGGAGAAAACACGAAATTAAATCAAAGCTTGAGGGTTCAGGATGGCTGATTTTTGGGATTCAATGATTTCATGAAGTTCAATGGTGTGTGAGTCCTGCTGTTGAATAGGAGAATCAAAAATATTTTACTTAAATTCTGACACTGCCTACCGTCGCCAATCACAATTATTATTAAAACTATGGGAATCTAAGGACTGAGATTGGCTCCTAGTCTATTCGAGTTTAAAGCAATTCAGCCATTTTTTAAGTTTCTTATATTGATATGTCCTGTTGAACCATGCATGTACATATACTGTATTTGAAATTAAATTTACTGTAGGCAGAAAAGCGAGAGAGATGTAAATTATTTCAAACCCTAGAAATCTGTCTCTACTAATTAATATATTTTGTGAAAAAATTCTATACTCTAAGACTAATTTAGATAAAATATGTAATAAAGCAGAAGCTTCTGACTGACAGAGTTTTAGAGATATAAAAATATGTTGGTGTTTTCCGTTTGTCTTTGGTTCTGTTCTTCATGCAGTTCCCGTGTAGATATTTTCGCGCCATGCATTATTTTTAGATAATTTTGGGACGGTTTATTTTTAAATTTTGGAAATAAAGAAACACCAACTTTCACGAACACAAACTTCTGCGAAAGAAAAGAGAAGAATCAAGAAAAGGCCGAGACCTTTTAAAGACAGATTTAGAAGAAAGTGTTCGGGTTGAAAATTTTTATATTTATTTGTAGAGTTTGACTAGAGAGAAAGGGGGTTTCTTTGTTTCACATTAAAACAAAAAATCGCAGTCGGTAATGAATTACTACCTTTGAAGTGCAAAAGCAACATTCGAACTCACTGGGCAGTTCATCCACCTTGTCGACTTTCTTGTCTTTTGTTTTAGAGTCGTCCTTTTGAGAGTTAGTGTGCAATGAGGTACAAAGATGTTAGTTGACATGAAATATTATTACAATAGAAAAAAAACAAGTGATAAAATTTTTATACAAAATTACAAAAATAAAATGGAGGACAACTTCCGTGCTGGATTTTTAAAAATCTAAAGCAAATAATTAAAAATTTTAATCCAGCACAAAAGTGAAATGAATCCTCTCCAAAATGACAGATCCTGTTAAATCAATAAAGATCAAGCTTAGCACACCAGGCTCAAGGTTATAGCAAAAAAAGAAAATCAAACCGGACTTTTGTGGTGTATCTTGAGTGTGTAAAATGGATCTACATTTTCTATAAAAAAAACTTCAAAACGCCCGTGCGAATCGAAGTTATGCAACCTGCTGGCGAATTAAGCATGACCGGTTGCATAACGCCGACAAAAAAGCCGCATTTATTGATTTCATTTTACTGTGGCCAATCTAAAATTAATAGCCATAGAAAATTTTGGGTCAAGAAAATACTTAAAACTCCTTAGATTTTCAAAGCATTTAAGAAAAAAACTCTCAAATCTAAGAAAGAAATGGAAGCAAAAAATCATAGGTTTGATGTGTGTTTTTTTTAAATGCTTTAAATTTGTGTAAATTTTATTATTTTTGCTGATAATTATTGACGAAATGAAATCAATGAGCTTTTTAAAATAAAAATGTGTGTTTTTTTCTCCGGCTTACCTCACTCTGGCACACTGGGGTGAGCACCGTGGCGTCGCCATCGGCGCTGTTGACCGCCACGATGGGCACTTGTGCGTTGTTGGAGTGTTGAGGGGCGGTCGGGGGCACCACCTGCGGCGCCGGAATGTCCAGCAGGTGGAGCGGCGAGCCCTCGTGTCCGTCAGCGTGGTGCGCCTGGTGCAGGATTGTAGACGCAGTGGGCCCGCCAGCCACGCCCGTCGCCCCTGCGGATGGACAGAGTGGACAATTAGGGTCTGTCTGGACAGAGGGCGCGGCACAACAAGGGACACGCTTCTAACAGTCGGAAGAGAGATAGACCGAACTGATCAAATATGAGATTGTAGAGAAAGAGAATAAGCTGTGGGTTAGAGAATTTTTAATGTTAACAACTTGCGTGCACCTTACAAACCTACTGGCAAGTGTTTATGTGATCAAAGTTTGGAAGAGAAAACAGTGATTAATTTTCTATGATAAAATGGTTTTGAATGTTTTAAAAATTAAATTTCGGGTTTTGTTAGATTTATGGATCCTTCAATTCGTTACTGAGAAGATTTCAAGTTTCGTTCAGAGCAAAAATTTCAAAAGTGACTTAAAAATAGATTAAAAAATCAAATCTCAATAGAGGTAATTGAACGTTGGTTTATGGTTGAATGTGGAAGTGGAAAAAAAATTATGTATATCGCGATATATGTAAAAATTTGCATTCTCAATTTGTTGGAACATCTTTGAACATCAAAGGAAGTTTTTTCCAAAGTCAATTAAACTAGAGCTTCAAATTTGTGGTAAGACAAAAAGAGCCCCTGATTTAGAGTTTTGGTGTGCTAATTTTTTTCCCCCATTTTAAGATGTCAATATTGAAAGTTTATCGACAGCTTTTATTACTAAAAATTATCAAATTAAATTAAATAAATAAATACCCATGTGCTTTTTTAAAGCAGAATTTTTGCACACTATTGAAATTTGTACATGAACTTATTGAAATATCTCATAAACGACTTTCAGGATGTTTGTTAATCAAAATTGTAATTATTGAGAGAGAGAAACACGGAAACCCAAATTTGATTTCGATTCACCACAAAATCACCCTTTCTTTTTCTACTAAATGAAGCAAGAGTGTGTCGGAAAAGAAGCAATTAAGAAGATTTTTAGTAAAAATGTCGTGTTTATAGAGGTGGGGTATTTGTGGTGGAAGGCGAACCCTGCAAAACAGTGAGCGGCATCAGCAAGTGCTTGGTGCGGTCGAGGTGGTGCTCGTGGTGCGTACTGCAGCCGTCGCTCGGCTTGGGCGGCGCCGCGAAACTGTACTCGCTGCAGTCGTCGTCTTCGTCATCCTCGTCCACGTCACTCTTGGACCTCTTAGACCGCTGCTGGCCCTGCTGCTTCAGCTGCTGCTGCATTTGTTGCTGCGTGCCTAAACAAGCCACACACCCCTCCCCTTTATCTCAGCTTCTAGTGCATTCAATTGTGGTCATCAGCTTTGTGCTTTCAAACAATTACTTGCATTTCTTTTAGCGAAAATGCTCAATTTTTTTTTTTTTTTTTTTTTTTTTTTTTTTTTTTTTTTTTTTTTTTTTTTTTTGTAGTAGAAGTTCACGATCGAGGGTTGATTCATGGTGGATTGAATTTAAATTCGGCTTTTCCTCGATGGGTTTTTGTGAGTTTTTATTGTTTAAGAAAAACAATATCCTGCTCTACATGTTTCGGCTGCGGGCTGCAGCCATAATTCATGAGCTTTCTCGGCGGTGGTCGAGAGAACCACCGCCGAGAAAGCTCATGAATTATGGCTGCAGCCCGCAGCCGAAACATGTAGAGCAGGATATTGTTTTTCTTAAACAATAAAAACTCACAAAAACCCATCGAGGAAAAGCCGAATTTAAATTCAATCCACCATGGCTCAATTTTTTGTTGGCAAAATTTTTTAACATTTGAACACAAACAATTGAATTTAAAAAATGAAGGAAAACTTTTGTCCTAATTTAATCTATTTTTTTTTCTAATTTAAATACTCTCAATATTTGCATTATAAAAAGATTTTTCAACTGCTATTTCGTTAATGAAAGTAGAGTTTCTCTCAAATTTACTGGCTTTATATTAATATAAAATTCACATTTGAAAATTCCAATTTTTATTAAAATTGATAAAAATGCAAGAATTGATTAAAATACTGATTGCAGCGTAAGCAAGCAAAAGAATGAAATAAACGTATACATCCTTATAAAAAAAAAAAAACAATCAGGCAACTAAAAAGAAAAACAAGTGACCCGTGGTTTGGCACCGCGAGAGTCACCACTAACTAAGATAAAATTCTCACAGCGTTCTTGGCTCTGACATGAAAGAAAAGAGCGCAATTTCAAGTGCAGATCGGCGCCTGGTGGCCACGCCAGAATAATTTCACCGTCCCTTTTGGGTGCCATTAAGCACGGGTAACTTTTTTTATCCCGGCGCCAATATTAAAGAAAGAAGGCCAGAGGTGCTGCGGCACATATAAAGCAAGAAGAAGTGAAATTTGACCCGACCGTATAAATTTTCTTTGCGGTCAAAACGCCAATGGCGAGCTCGGGTCAAACGTGCAGCAGAATAAAAAATCCTTGCCGCAGAAGAATTTTCTCACTTGTTTTAGGAAAGGCCAAGTAAAATAACAGAGCGGTGATCGCATTATACGCGAGTTTGTTTGTTGACGTTGCGTGTCTTGGGAGTTTATTTTCTCTGCACTTTTGGGGCATCAGCACTTGAACGATGTTTATCGTTTTTGTCAAATTATTAGTTACAAGTGCGAAAAGAAGAGCCAAGAATGCAATAACAAAAAATCCATGCGATCAGTGAAACAGTGCGAAAAAAGTAAAAACTATCCCCGACTGAACTATAAATACTTTAGTATCAACTTTGCTGCAACTTTAATATACGTGAACAAAACACCAATCAAAAACACGTTTCAGGCAGGCACTGAAGCAATTTGGCAGAGAGACAGAGCGAAGATTGGAAGAAAATCTTGTTATTTGTGATATAAAAATCGAATTAGAGGCTGCAGGTGAAAGATGGAAAAGTTAATCAATGTGAGAGCGAAAAGAGAACAAGCTTTCAAGAGCAGGGAACTCTCCGAATGGACCGAATCATTTGGAAATGTACTTCTGGGAGTGCTTTGCGAAAAAGTAGAATAGAAAAGATGTTTCGTTACGATAATAGTCCATCAGGAGGTACGAGAGATAAACAGACGCTATTGGTATATATCCGGCTCAGTATTCCCTCTCCAACATCAATTACACACAAACTTTGAAGGAAGGAGGAAAATTACTCCACATTTATAAAAAAGAATAACATTAAAACTGGAAACAGGAATGAAGTAATTGAATCCTTCCGCCAAATATGTCAAATAATTAGTATAGTTTGAAAGGAAAAAATGGAAATTTAATTTTTGGAAATTTTAAACAAGGTAAATTAAAATCCAAGAGCAGTAAACTGCATTATATAATTTAAAATATAAGAGAAATTTTACGTTAAATCAATTCCAACCTAAACCGGAACTGACTGAATCGAAAAAAAAAATTAATTTGCTGTTTTTATTACTTTTAGAAAATTATTGTGTGCCGCCTCTGTTCACGAATGACAATGTAGAAATGCGACACTTTTTTTTTATTTATTTTTAACCATGGGCATTGATTCAGATGCTCAAATTGCAACGTCTTTTGTTTTAGGGTAATTTTTATTAAGAAAGTTTAAAATTTATTTTATATAAAATCTTTGAATCACTCTGCATGGATTGTTAATTTTTTTTCAATTCTACTTCTTTAATAAATAAATTTCCAAATTTTCCTAACAAGAAAGTGTGCCACGACAGAGGAAACTGAAAAGCAAATAGGTTAGTGAAGATCCAAGCAAGAAGAGTACGTTTCTTACACACACATATACGGAAATTACAACACTGAAATCGGTCCTCTGAAGTGGAAACTGAATTAATTCTAATCTAATAATAATTTATAACTGTGGCGCCTTTTTTTCAAGAGGCCGGTCGGGGCGCCAAAGAGGAGCCGACCGGCCTCGGTTTCGTTTCCACCGCAGACACGGACCGACGAACGTTTCGGATTCTGGTTTTCTCACCTGTGTCGACGATCACGTCGATGAGGTCCATGCTCTTGGCGAACGCGTCGCGCAGGTTGATGTGGTGGAAGGAGACAATGGACCCTTCGCGTTTGGCGCGCTCAAGCGCCTCGCGGCGCTTCAGTGCCTTCTCCCTTCTCATTTGGTTTTTATAGAACTCGGCAAAGTTGTTGACAATAATAGGAATCGGCAGAGCAATCACCAGGACGCCACAAATACAACAGACACTTCCTATTACCTTTCCAAGTGGGGTCGTGGGGTAAATATCACCGTAACCGACGGTTGTCATTGTGATACCGGCCCACCAGAAAGTCTCCGGGATACTGATAAATTTAGTACCTGGCTCCTCTTTCTCGGCGAAGTACGCGAGACTGGAGAAGATGAGCACGCCCATGGCTAGGAACAGCATCAGCAGTCCCAGTTCTTTGTACGAGTTTCGCAGCGTGAAGCCGAGACTCTGCAGGCCCGTGCTGTGGCGCGCCAATTTCAAAATACGCAAGATTCGCATGATTCGGAAGATCTGCACGACACGCCGCACGTCTTGGAACTGATCGTTCGCGTTCTTATTCGTCTCGACTAGGAACAGGGACACGTAGTAGGGCAGGATGGCTAGCAAATCGATCACATTGAGGCCGCCCTTGAAAAACTTCCACTTATTGGGCGACGCGCTGAATCGCAGCAGATACTCGAGTGTGAACCACGTTATGCACACGGCTTCGACCATCGCCAGCTGCGGATTGTCTATCACGATGCCGTGCTCGTCTTTCACTTGGAAACTCGGAATTGTGTTCAGAGTCAGTGCAATTGTCGACAGAACTATGAATAATATGGAGATAATGGCGATCACCTGAAATCAGACGTCAAAACGCCGCTCGCTCTAGTTAACTGGTTTCCTCAAAGAGTTCGTCCTCAAAAAATTCATGAAATTCAACACAACCTCCAGACCTACAACAACTGGAGTTGCTTATTTTATTTGGAAAATAAAAATAAAATCAGATAAAAATTTAAAACTAAATTTTTAAAAGCTCTGAAAAAAAGTAATCTGGAAAATATTTAAATCAAGTTGCCGTTTTGAATTAATCTCAAAATTTGTTTTTTCCTACAATTGAGCAAAAAATTTAATGTTTAATTTTTAATGCAAAATATTGAAACTCTAGATCTTTTAAAGAATGAAATTAAATGTTAATAGAATTAATGTGGCATTTAAAAATTGTTATTTAACTGCAAGTATAAAATTTTATTAAAAATAAATATCAATTAAAATAATTAATTAATAAGTAGAAAATAAAATAAGCAACTCCACTAATTAAACAGCTATAAATCAGTAGATTAACCTAATTAAAATGATTAGTTGCATTTTCTGAAGGTGAATGAGCTTTTATCGGGCGAACCCTGTTCGGAGTTTGTATTCATTGTCGCCCTGGTCCCCGCCCTCGAAGCCCTCTTGAGCAGCGCGCATTGTTGAAGCAGAGGCGCACGCAAAGCGGCAGTTTGGCCATCACGTCAGCTTAATAAATTTCGAGCCGCTTGCGTGTCTGCGCACGAGAAAGAGTGGAAAATAAAAGCTATGGTCTCCATTTGTTCGTATACTGTATAGAGGGGAAAATAATGCGCCCTGCTGCCGCTGTTTCGTAACCCGGCTATGGTCCTGAAGGGCACATAAGTATGTCAGTGGGGTTCACGAAAATCACTCGGACTGACAGGCCCAGCGTGCGGTGATTATGACGTCTTGAGGGGAGAAAAGTAGTGGCCGGAAGAGCAAAGAAAGATTTGGGGCCGATCGGAATTCCGTTTGTGGCAAAATTTGAAGGCGATAAAAAAATTGATTTTTAGGAGAAAAACGTATTTTCCTTGAAATAAGCTAAAAAAAATTGATAAAACTGAAAAAGATTTTCACGGATTGGTGTTGAGGAATTTTCTTCGGCCAATCATTACTTTAATCAAACTTATATAAAAATATTGCGCTGTGGCCCACGAGTTTTTGGTCAGAAATCGATTCCTTCTAACCTTTCAATTGACTTTTCAAATTATAAGAGTCCTCTTTTAAGTTTAATACCTAATTTGATGCTGGCGATAAAATTTAAATTTAAATTCCGATTTTCAATCAGCATAGAAAAATTACAAAAATTATTTTTAAAATTCAATTTTTAAGATCTTTATTTAATAAAATAATCCTTCCATCTTGAAATATTTAGTAAATACGTGCGCGTTTTAATTATTCAGGATTTTATGTCCCAGCAATCAGCAAAATATGGACTGCTTAAATTTTTGTTTTATATGAATCTGTAGAAAAACTAGGAGACGGAGTTGATAATGAACCACTGGTTGAGCTGCGAGAGAATTAACAGCCGCTCATTGTAATTATATGGACGAAGCCGATCCCCTATAACGATCCCAGCAGTTAAGAGAGCATCGTGTCGATAAAACCAGAGGACGTTTTTGTCCAAACTGCCGCACTTTCTGACCGATAAGGTATATTATTGGTTTTATACGATTTTTCGAAAGGTCAGAGGACCAGGACGACATGCGAATTTCGGCGCTGGTAACAAGAGCGAGCGGATATGCGTGGAACGATTTTATTCCTTCACAAAATCAATAAATGATTATTACATCAGTTTTTTTCTTTTTTTTTTAATAAAAAATTCTGTTCGATTTGAGATCGAACAGAAAGCTAGAGAATTGTTCAGACTCGTCAGAGTGTGCAGACAACAAGTGAACATCAACAAAACACCATTTCATATAGTCCCACCATCACCACCACTGAACACCGAGAGAAAATAAATATATAGTATAAAAACACCATCGATTTCACAGCAGCCCACTTAGTTTGTCGCGAGATAGCGAAGTAAGAGAGGTCGGAGAGAAATTAGAAATTATCATACAGCAAAAACACAAGCAGCGAGAGAGCTGATTGCAAAAAGCCGCTCAAAAATAAGTGGTATTTTCATTCTTTTTCGTGGAAACATGCACAGCTCGTCGTTCCGGTTAGCGATTGATTATTTTGCACTTGCGGACGAATTTAAAAATGTATAATACAAAAAAGCACGTCCAGAACAAAGGGCATAATATGTACTTTGACAGGTGGATTTATCACACGGCATATTTCAGACATGCACGTGTTAGTGGAGAGAGATGTGATATTTAGAGTGGTTTGCTTTCCGGTGCGGGAAAACTGCTGGAACATCGACGTTCCTGAGAGTGCAAAATTTTGACTGGAGATTATTTGACTGTGACTTTGCTTTGTTTGCACGAGAAGTGACAAGTGTAATGTAGAGCAGGAAACCAAGAAATTTTTAAGAAATGAAAATTAAATTAAAAGTTAGATTTTAAATAAATGTAAATATCAAATATTTCACCTGAAAATAATACAGCATCTGTTAGGGGGAAAATAAAAAAAGTTAAGAGAAAATTAAGTTCTAGCGATCTAAAATTTAAAAAAATAATAATAATAAAATAATTTAAAATTGATCAAAATTTTTTCATCAAAACGTTCATACACTATGGTGTAATTTTGTAGAACTACAAAATTCTAAATTAAAAAAAGTGAGGATTTAGAATGAGAAATTAAGTCAGTTTAAAATGCTAATAACAAATTTAATGATCATGATTATTTTACTCTTTTTTTTCAAACAATTTGTTATAAACAATAGTTTATAAATAATTTAACAATTACTTTCCTCCTTTTTAAACTTTTTTACTGTTATTCCTAACAAATTTTAAAGTTAAAATTGGTTAAAATAAGTTGCTTTATTCCCCCCTTACAATTAAAAATTAATTCTGTGCAAAAGATGCTCTCCAAAAAACTGTCACTCTTAATCTCTATGTGAGAAAGTGTGCCAAAAACAAAGCAACAACCAACAGTACCTCTCCAGAAATGTAATCGATTTAAATCTATTTAAAGCCTTGATTTCTTTTTTATTTATCTAAAAAAATTAAACTCCGAGATCTTGGCGGCCCGGTCGACGTTCAGCCGAAGAATATTTATATAATTCGCAGTAGATTCGGTTCCGTTTTCTTCTTGTCAGGCAAAAACTTTTCAGCCCGTTCAGAGATTTTCCGGTCAGGGTCGACGGTTGGGATTGCGGTTCGACTAGTGACATTTGCCCCCGCGACTCTGCCGCAGCAGAGCCTCCACCTCGCCCACCCTCCGTGAGAACAGGAGAGTCGCGACCCAGCCTCGGCCTCTTCGGGGTGGGCGCCCCTTTTCAAGGCCGCGACTGGGAGCGTCTCGGGTGAATAATACTGCAGGAGGTATCATTCCTGTGAAGCTGGTCATTGCTCAAGCCCTTTCGCTATTACGCCATTATTTGTTAATTGAAAAGTTTAGAGGGAGGAGAAATTTGAGAGGTTAGTCCAGAGCTAGGAGAAGTAGCAGAAGAGGAAGCAGCGCCAAGCTCCGATCACGAACGTCCACAACAGAAGAGAATCACGTCAGTTTTGTACAAAATTATTATTTTTTTCCACAAATTCGGGAAAAAAAGATCATTAGAAACGGAGGAAGTGAGAAATTATTGCCAATGTTTGTTTAAGATGATTTTTTTTTTTTGCTCGAACTTCCTTCGTCTCCGAGGCTCAAAACACAAAGTCATAATAATCAGATGGATTATTCCTGGAGTTATTATGACAAGAGAGAGAGAGATACGTCAAGGCGGAACAAAAAAAAACGGACAAGAAACACACGCAAGCACAAAAGGAGCAGAAAATATTTATAGTGGATCAAATCCGAAAGAATTCTGCGCCTTTGATGTTGGGACACTCAACATAATCATGATATCAACATCAAAAGTGCAACAAACGGACAAGCACGCAATCAGCATATTAAATCGTGGGGAAAACAAATCAAATAAAAAGGTCTTTGGAAGGGAGAAGGAACACCAAAAATTATTCAAATATTACATAAAAAAATAATATGAAATTTATCCTATTCCATAAAAAAGTTGCTTTAATCTGGCAACAAAATATAATTGCTAACGTTGGACCATCTCAATAGTTAAAATTTGTAAAAAGTAAAAGCAAAATTATTTAAGGTTAACATTGAAAATTCTATTTATACACAGAAACTGAGTGCTTATGTTAAAAATTCATTTATACTAGATTTTTTCTTTGGGCCAAAATGAGAAATTTGAAAGATTTTAAGGAAAATTTCCATCCGTTAAGGATTAATTTTAAATTTAATAAATTAGATAAAAATAAAAATCATTGTTAATTTAAGCTGTAAGATTTTCAAACTTGGATTATATTGCAATTTATTAATAAACTAAAAATTAAAAAAAATGACACAAATTTAAATTATTATTATATAAAAATTATAAGAATTTTTTAAGTAAAAATTCTCATTCAGAAAATTTATAAATTAAGATAGATTTTTTGTCAACTTTTGTTTCTTCTTCAACAATTAATTTTTAGTTTCCAAATCAAAGTAAATTTTTATACTTGTAAAATCTGTTGGTTTCTGAAAAAGGAGAAAAAAATGTAAAAAAAAGACATTAATTAATCATAAATGTATACAATTTTATGCAAAAAGGACAGCTCTGACAAGGAAGAGTTGTGGTGTGTAAAAATGAGTTTTCCAGAGGTGTGATTTTGTGTGTGTGTGTGTGTGTGTGTGTGACATTGTGGTTGTTGGTGAGTGAGTGAGTGGTGACAGTTGTTTATAAAGCTTTTCCTTCACTACAGAAAAGGTATGTATAATTACAGAAAAGTGAACCAGGCTGCTGATTTCGATTTTTCGGAGCCGCGAGGGGAGCGGTGCGATATTTCTCATTAGCCGGCCCGGGGGCGGAGAGTCATCAATCAGTGCCGAGCGGAAAAAACAATGGACAAAGTGGCTGCCATCGGAGAACCCTC